AAAGACATCCAAATAGATTATTTGGTTCCTGCTTCTTGTTAAGCAAAGTGTATGGACAAGATAAATGTACAAGTCCCTGAAACTGCTTTGACATACAGCAGTTTACAGTCCATTACATAAACTTCTGTAGCATTAGATTTAAGGGTAATTCCCACTTTAAAGTAATATTTCTCACTAAATTAGTTCACATTTAAAAAAAGAAATTGTCCTTACAGCAACAATTTCTGTGATTGATCTTCCATTAAAAAAATAATTAATGCTCATTTAAATTAATGAAGGTATCATTTACTTCATTTCTCCTTTTCCACTTTACTTTTCTCAACAGTATGCAAGTAAGAACAGAAACCACATGTGCATTCAGGAAAACAAAAAAAATATGTAAATATAATGCAGACAAAAAATAGCTCATGTATGGTACATTGCAGAACACAGGAGTATCCTGAAGAAAAATAGCAGAAACAAAAGGAACTTAATTAACTCTGGCAAAGGATGACCCAAGCATCCAGGTTTTTAGTATGATGATTATTACAGTAGCATAGAGGAGGCTCTCTGAAAGAATCTGGGCACCTGCCATACTTACAAGGACAAAGAGTTCAGGTGAATCAACTTCTAGGACAAAAACAACTCTGAACACTTCTGACCACATTATGTAAAATTTAAGCAATTCTGAAACTGGGAAAAAAGATAATCCAAAGGCAAAATATGGCCAAAGGCATTTTGAAACATATGTCAGTGAAATTAAATAACATTTTCCTAGGTTTTCTACAAAGACAATCTCTCCCTTATAAAGTATCCTGAAAAGTACTCAATTTATAAATAATTCTTTGTTTTATATTTATTCTAGAGCTTGTCTATATTAATAAAAAAATCTAAGCATATTTTAGTAGGGGGCCAATAGAGGCCCTGGATCACATTCATCATGATAAGGGTTCAGAAGTCTATGGGGCCTGATGGGATCCACCCAAAGGTACTGTTGGACTCAATGATCACAGATGTCTTTTCCATCCTTAGCGTATCTATGATTCTAAAGGTTATATTTATTATTCACCTGACTAAATTCAGAAATCAAATTCCATTTAGTGGGAATGCCAGTAATTAGATAGTCAGTTTGTGACTTCTGCTTCTTCAACTAATTAAAAATCCAAAGATTCTGCTCTTCCATACCAATAATGAGATTCATTGCTCCTGCTGCAAAGTCTCCATTTGAAGAAAAGCCAAGCTGCCTGAGAAAATCATGAATATTTATCCCACTATGATCTGTCTGTCACACCAATATATGCCACAGTAACTCTGGTTACATCATTTTCCTGTAAGAAAAGCTTCACTAGAGAGTCCCTAAGATATGGATGTTCAAAGAATATAGGATTAGAATCTAAGTGAAACAAGAGTGAGGATGTCCAGTTTTCACTGGGCCGGATCCTGTGAGGAGAGAGGCCCAACAGCTTATTCTGATTTCAGCAGGAGAGAAGGTGTTCAGCACCTCTCAGAAATAAAAGGTTTCTCCAAGTGCCAGTTTGGCTGGATACTTACTTCCATACTTACACTGCCCTTAGGTTCTGTTCCCTCTGGGACTGCTGCCATACATGAAATTAGGCATGAACTCAAGTAACTTCTTCCATAATGGCCTACACCTTAACTTGAAAGTTTTATTGCTACTTTTCTAAGTCAAAACAGAAAGAAACATAAGTTTCTAAGTAACTGAGTACCTCTAATGTTCTTAACTATGTTGTTAAACCAAATAATATCTGATATAAGATAAAATTTTGCAAGACTATCATACTGAAAGTGGTACTCTGTAGACTGACACAGAATGAAATTACTTAGACATAAAACATAAAATGACTGTATTCAACTTTTCACACAAAACCCCCATATTTTGTTTTAGAACACGAACAGGTAAGGCCACAGAACTCCAGCAAGGTGCTGATAAGGATATCAATTTAAACAATCAAAATTACCAATAAATATCAAGAAAATAATCTGCCTATTTAAAATTACAGCAATCAACATCGATCAAAAAGAGCAGCCACCAACATTGCGAGTCATAACTGTTTTCAAGTAAAAATTGCACTATGTGCTTTAAGACTGTCACGTTCTCACATATTATAACAGTGTTAGAGTAACATACATGTATTAACTTTCATCCTTCTGTCCTGGTTAGTCACAGTTTCACTGGAATTCTCCAATGTATGATTCTGATTTTCATCCTTACTTTCTTCACCAGGTAAATCTTCCTTTTCTTTTTCTTCACTCTGTAATGGCTTTTCAGGTCCATCTTCCTTTCTGCTACATACATTCTTCTGGCCTGACAGTGGTTTTCGCTTAAACAGGGAAAACTGAAGTAAAAAACCCAGGTAAATGACAGGTGCAAAACAGTTAGCTCTGAAATTCAAGATTAAAAAAACACAAACCCTTTTGTATATGCCAAGGTCAATTGAGGCTGTAAATTTCTCCTTGGTAAAATAAATAATCTTTTAAAACCAAAATGGCTACTACAAAATGTTAATGAAACACATTTGCAATATTTGAAATGTGTCAAAATCATACATGTGAACCAGAGAAGTTAAAATGATTGCATTCTGTTAAATTATACATTGTACAGTTTGTACTAAACACTGCAAGTGGTGCAATTATTTGGGTTTCTTTCCAATAAGAATCTGAGGTAAGGTCCGAAAAATACAGGTTCAGATCTCCAAAGCCCCAAAGCAGTAAGTGCTTAAAAAGCTTTCTTAAAAAGGTGTGTGCTCCCATTAAAGTCAACGACAGTGCTTGGGTGTCAGACCATACACGTGCTCAAAGTTAACTGGTGCTTAAGGTCTTTGTTCAACAGGAAACACAGCAGCCAGTCTCTGCAGAAGCTTCTGGAACCTAAACCTGTAAGAAATGCCATATCAGGTATTCCTCAACATGCTTATACACATATATATAGATGTATATGATCCCAAAATCAGTGCATGTTGCAAGACAAAATAGCTCAGCTGCTGCTTTCAGAGAGAAGTATGAGGGAAAATATTTTCAGATAATGTCCCATATGAATCAAGTCCTAAGTTTTCACCTCATCAATATGTGATGTGATGTGATTAACAACCTGTCTTTTACATTTGGGCAATTATCACAAAATAAAATCAAACCTTAAAGAGAAGGAACAGTTTGCTCAGCAGTTTAATTATTTGTGCAGATCATGTGCAAATTGAGGTATTTGCATTGGTAACTGCCCACTGCCACCTTGGTCACTCACAAAACAAGGAAGGAAAAACAAGGTCACCCACCTTTTTTCTCCCAACAATTGCTCCAGTTATTTGGTCATCACTGTTTTCTGAAGAATTTTTCACAGTATGATTGTCAGTGTTTTCTTCTTCTGCAATAACATAGACATTTACATTACCTTCCCTCTGGTTCATGCAAATCATAAAAATATCACAGAAAAACAGAAAACAACTCCCAAAAATTGTTCTTCAAATTATTTCTGAAGTAGAAGTCACAAATAATGTGGATCTCAAAAAAAAAATCAATCAGAATATTCAGTTCAACTTGACCCCAGCCTGACAAGACTATTTTAGTTTTTTAATTTCTTTATGTAATGCCCTTATAATACTCTTCAGATGCTTGATTTTCAAGAACAGAACACTTAACAGTAGTGTTATAGGGACACTATATAAAATATTTTGACTAAACACTCACAGTTTCCTCTTGCTGACAGATGACAAAGTCTTGCACACCTATTTGAAAGTATATTCTAGTTTGGGAAAGCTGGCTTTTAGGGCAGGAGTTACAGCTAAGCATGAATTTTATTCCGTAGAAACAATTCTGGGAATGGAAAAACTTTCCATTTGAGTTGATGTTCCTGTGTTTAAATTTTCCTATACTCCCTGTACAAATCATATAAATTTAGAACTTAATATCAAAACTTCCAGATCACTGGATAATGGAAAAATATTTAAGCATCCATTCTGTGCAAGCTATTTCCATTATAATATTGAAGATAAATGACATAGCTTCTTCATTATAAAGGCTTTATAATAAAGGCTTTTTTATAGCACATTTGTTATTATATTTCAAAAGAACAATTATAGATTATTCCAGAATTTCTAAAACAAAAGAAGTCCTTCACATATGGGGCACCCAACTTCGTGCTTCCCAGCTTTTCTAAAGGAATATATAATTCACACAAACTGGCATTAAAACTACCAGGAACATCTAGACTTGCATCCTCAGCATCTCTGAACAGAGCTCAGTAATTATCACACTTCAACTAAAATAATCTGCAAATGTAAGGAGGAAACATCAGCTGGCAAAGATGAGGAAGACTTTTGACAAGCTTCTCAGCTGGAGTGAGATAACACAATTACCATGACTTTGGTATTGCACAACTGGAACTGCTCCTGGCAAGTAAGATACAGTCTTGCTAAGAAAAAGTCCTTCTTATGGACTTCCTCCCATACGTGGCTGGGGAAAGTATTTATTTCTTTCAAATCAGTAACAATCAATAATGGGGTTTTGCCTCTCAAATTTCATCACCTCCTCAACAGCTGCTTTATCAACCACTGACAACAACTGTGCCATTCAGTATTTTTATAATCTGAGATTGCTTAGAACAATTTCATCTTTTGAAATGTTGTATCAGTCTTTAGAATGCCCAATTCTTAAGAATTTATTCTTACCCTGCTGAACGATGGTCTCTTTCTGAGTAGTCTCTTCTATCTATATAGAGACAAAACCAATTAAATCTCTACATTCAAATGTGTTAAAAAATAAGATGTTTTACGATTAACACCCACATGTGTTCATCTCTCTAACAAAACCACCCCAAACAACAGCTTTGCATTTACAGGATAGCTACACATATTCAAACTAATGCTGGTTATAGAACCAGCTTCTTTCAGAGAACAGTAACTTAATAAGAATAAATGTTCTTACCTCTCCAGTTTCCACTGTGCCATTACTGCTTTTTTCTCCCTCAGGTGTTCTACTAGGTTTCTCTCTTTCATATTTTTCCTCTATTTCCTCTTCTTTCTCTGTTCCTTCTCCTGATTCTTCTCCTGTTTCCTCTTCTCTTTCTGCTTCTTCTATTTTTTCTTCTTCTTCTGTTTCTTCTTCGTCCTCCTCCTCCTCCTCATCTATCTCTTCATCTTCATACAAGTTTTGTTCCTTTGACAAAATTGCCAAAACATAATTTTGAAACTAGGATGCACAGTGATACCATGGTCCTTATCCTACACCAGCTCATCAAACATCAGGATTTGACTAAGAACCTGAAAACTCAAAAGAGAATATTCCAAGCAGATAGAATGAGGACAAAGACAGGAGACCTCATTCATGGTTTGCTAATTTTAATAGATTTTTAAAAAACAGGTCTCCAGTGGCCATTAGGAATGCAACTGATTTTTATGTTTTGCCAACATGAGTCTCCTTAAAGGAAAAGTAATGAAGCTACACTTATTTTTGGAAAGAAAATATTTCTTTTAAATGTTTGAAATATGCATAATTGACACAAGTAGTAGTAATTCCAACACTGAAAAAAAAATCTAAAACCTATTTCCCAAGAAAATTAATAAATACCAGATACAATGTTTTGATTCATGTGATTCAATACAGACATGTTAACTTGAATTTAAGTTAGTTTCAGCATACAATAAAACTTCAACATAGTAAAATAAATTAGCCAAGGGCATTATAAAATAAACTTTAGAAAGATGCAAATGTTATTTTTGTAAGAATTTGTAAAGAATCAATCATATCCTTCTTACTCCATTCAGACTGTCATTACCATGCCATTATGTATTTCTAACAGCATGAAATACAATATTTAAAACAGAAACATTCTCCTACTCACTGCAGAAATACAAGGGCCTAAACCACGTCCAAGATGGACTTCTGATGTCAATCAAGTGAAGCTTTATCATTACATCAGAATGTCCAGAAAAACAGGGACACATCTGTTCCACTGCAGCCTGTGTCACGATGGTGGCTGGTGGGAAGATCTGCACCATCTTTTGGAAGTGTGGCAGAGGAATGGGTCTTATATTGAACACCTTTGTATACCTGAGTCCAAATGTTGTCTCCTATCTTTTGTCAGTGTTTTCCTTATTCTGTCTTACTTCTTCCATCTTTTGCCTGTTATCTCCACAATGACTGTTTTCATGGCCATCAGAGGGTAACTTCCTGGTCAGGAGGAGACCATGAATTAATGTTTCTGGAGGTTGGAGCACAGAGCTCTTTGGTGGAACTCCTTTGCTAAGCACCACTCAGACATCCCAGGAATCTGAGACATCCTTCCATATGATTTATGGACATCTGCATTATTCTGGACCCCAGATCACAGCCTACAACACCTAACATCACACTAGATGACTTCGTTTTGGCAGCTGAGCCACGCTCCTCATCCCTCCCCAAAAAAATGGTGGAAGTGGGAGGCACTCCTTGTACTCCAAAGAAGACACCTAGTGTTGTTTAACTGAACAGCTTCACAGACTGACCCCATCTCCATTTACTTCATTTGCAGCTTGCCACAGGTGTCTCTGGCTGTCAACCTCATCTGTTCAACTCCTAAAATGGCCCCTTTTGAATCATAACTGATAGCACAGTTTTACTACTGCCACCTCTGCTTGCCCGTTTATAGGCATGTTTTGGAATGCTTTTACCAATGGTGATGAATGATATGAGAATGTCATGCTACAGATAAGTTTTTATTTCAAAATATGAATCACCTGACCATTAAAAAGAATATCTGAAAAATCTGATGATTAAAGCATATATATATGTACGTATATATAAGTCTTATGTATATATGTTACATGCATATAGGATATACATGTATAATCTCTTAATTATTCTCTTCATCATGCATTAGGGGTTTTGTTTTCTTATTCCACTCTAAATTCCTTTGTCATAGGAAGGTGTTCAAAGAATACCTTCCACAGTTTTACTTCTGAAGTTGAGACAGGGGGAAGCTCACTTGGCCAAGGTCTCACACACAGAGTAAAAAGTAGTAAAGAACATACGAGTGACCTATTTCAAACTATTTTCATTCAAGCTTGAGGTTCCAGTTTCTTCAAGGACAAAACAGTGGTCAGTACTATGAAACAGATTTAAACATGTTGTACCTCTAGTATAATACATCAGTACAGCAGAACAGTAGTCTAGAAAATATTACCTTAACACATATACAGAATTTTGTATAACTGTCTTCTTTGCTTAATTTTTTGCATGCATTTATTCTGGTTTTCCTGTAAATCCAGACCTTTATAACAAGACATTCTCAAGGACAAATTTGCTTTTTCCAGGCTTTAGGGTATGAATGATCTTACTTGCTCTGGTTTTGGCAAAAGTATTGCCTTAGTGGGTATAACTGTCTTTTGCTAAAGTGGCTGCAGCTGGCTTTTCTTTGGGCAGATAATACAGAATAATGACATTTCTTCTCAGAATACTCTACAAAAATATGTTCCTATGTCTACAGGAGAAAGGGGAAAAAATTTCACTCCCTTCCCTATCGTTGCCTCACCTGGTGTCATGCTCTGGCTAAAAGACAGTCTCACTGAAGACTGAAGACCTGTCTCATGGTAGACCTTGCTCAAACGACAGCTGCAAACTGCATTTCTTTAAGTGCTGTAACTATTTCATTGTGGATCCCTCCTGCATCATTTATGGAAAATGAGCTCTGGCAGACAAGCTGCTCATAATTAGCATTTCAGAAGGGAAGGCTCATGGTATCTTTCCACATCTCCTCAAGAAGTCAAAATAATGTTTGCCACCACCATTTTATGTTTCTAGGGAAGAAAATCTCAAAGCCACTGATGAGACAAATTTAGTTGCAGATTTTTTAAAAACCTGGTAAAAACTCAATGATGAAGAGAAAGTTGTAATTCATTTTTGTACCACTTGAAATGGAGAGTTCTGGGAAGCTCCGGTTTAGAAAGATGTTTCTGTTTTTAGTTGCCTTGGAAACTGTTAAAAATCCAGACGAATATTAATACAGAGAGCTGAGAATGAGGTAGGTAGCTACATGTTTCTTCCTTGGTGGTGTTCTGCTAAGCAGCCATAAACCAGCATTTAAGGAACAGATTTTTCCCATTACCTACCCAGCCCATTACCTTTAAATGCCCAAAAACACACCATGGCCCTCTAACATGTCTATACAACAACTGAATGATATAAATACCAAGTAGGAGTTTCCTTATGAAGGAAAATACTCTTAGTAGATGATAAGAGTTAGTGCTTTGCCAACCAAACCATGGCACTGAGTGTCACGTCCAGTCTTTCCTTAAACATCTCCAGGGACAGTGACTCCACAACCTCCCTGGGCAGCCCATTCCAATGCCCAATCACTCTTGCTGTGAAGAACAAGGGAGGCAGTCAACAAGCCAAACTAGGCTTTCCTTACACACTGTCAAGGAGATAAACAGCTCAGCTACATACACTCAAAAGAATTTTGAGTGAAGAACTGAGCCTTGCACCATAACTTGCCTAAAAGTTGAGATCTAGACTTCAACTCAGTTATATTGGTTTCCTAACAGTACAATTCCATGTCAAGAGCCCTTGACATGGATTGCCTGATACTTTTAACAGCCTCTTAATGCTGCTGTTCTGTAACTATCCTGGAATACTAACGCAACACTGAACTCGTCATTTCAGGCACACTGTGCAGTGAAACAACTGCAAATGAGTTTGATGTCAGGCAGGAGTTTCCACTGCTAAATGTCAATCAAAAATTGAAATTTTAAGACAGTTATACCTTCTTGTAAATATGATGGAAAAAAACATATTGAAGTAGTAGATGCCCACAAAGTGATACAATGATTACCCCGGACATGTGACAGCCAATTACCCCAATAGTGCCCTTCAACAGGATGGTGTCATTCTGAGAAAAATGGAATAAAACAGTGCATACACAGCTGTAAACAGCATTGTAGAAACTGATTGGACAGACTAATTTTCCATTTTGTTTTACTAAGCTTTTTTCTGCCAAAACTTTGCTATGCAACATATTTTATTTACTAAACGCCAAACACAAGGGCCTACAGGTTTCCACAAGTTTCCATTTGTGCACTTTTGTCACAGGCTGGCAGTGCACATACTTTGCACTAAGAGAATTAATCTGGTCACATTTATTAATCGAGACTTTAGGTGTCATTCTGAGACTGCACACAGACACTTATTTCAGAGTAGTAGACAGTAATTTTTGGAGGGCATTATCCTAAAGATTGAGTTGGCTTTGGTGTAATTATTTTGTAGCTTGCCACCTTGATGCTGTAGATGTATCTGGAGAAAGGTATATCTCTGTATTCTTGTTTGAGTAAAAATAACTACTTATCAATGAATTAAATTTTAATGGAAAGCTTCATTCAGAAAAAGTATTTGTACTTTAATTTTTGTGTCAGATTTTGACTATTCACTACAAATTTCAAAAGAGTTATCTAAATGATTCTCTTTCCCCAGCAAATCAGAATGAATTTTTTGGTTTTTCCCCAAATAAATTAACATCTGAAATAGCTCAGATGTACTGCAGTTTCCATATACAAAACTGTTATCTCCTCATGAAAGTTTTCTTTATGTGGAGAACAAATAAATACCACAAATTTCCATGGTAAAAAGCAAAAGAAAAAACCCCACTGTAGAGAATAAGAAAGAATTTTTAAGGTCTTTTCTGAAAATCATAAAACAAGTTGGAGACATTTACATCAAGTACAATCTTTTACGAGCTATTGTACACAGTAACAAAAATACCCTCTAATATTCAGTCACCCAGAAATAGTATACCAAAATAACTCCTGGGTACTTAAGCAAAACAGATGAAATATAATGAGCAACTGCAAATTAGAATATGTTGATGTTATCTGAAAAACTTTTTGTGTCTCTGGAAGACACTACACTGCATAAAATGAATTCTTAATGCTAACAGGCACAGAGAAAAAAAAAATTACTTGGGAATATTAGCCCACACTTGGATGCAGATTGTGCATATTTTCCAAATCCTTATAGAAAAAGTTTTGGTGTCTGGAGTTTGTCATGCAGCTCCCACATGTTCGCAAGTGAATGAGGACAGTCACTACTTTCTGCTTTTATTGTGCACATAGCACATGTAGAGTACTGCCTGTCTCTCCAAAATCCTGCACTTTCCATTGAAATCCTGCCTTAATCATGCTGATTATTATTCAGTGCTTGCACAAAAATACTGGTAAAGGCAAATTTTCACCAAAACACCAGAGGGGGCAGGAAGGTTTTTTAAGATTCTTTGACTGTACGTTCCTCAAAGGGATGTCCCACGGTTCACTGGTAAAATCTCTACAGCCTGCAAGACTGGCCTTCTCAGGGAGAGCCCCCACTCCAAAATACTCTGATGTAAAAGTGGCGATTCCTACACAACCATCTCTAACATTTAAGCCCATTCTCACCTTGCAGATTTTTCAAGGCACGCCCAAACTTGGTAATGCAAGTCACACCACCTTTCACTGGGTAATTGTTTTCCACACCACGCCAGCACTTGTGGGAGTTCTCCCCAGCCACTGGAAGGCTGGTTTTAAAGCACGGCTGTGATGCAGGACACATTCAGGTTTGTATGGTCCTTTTTCTCCTCACAGATGATAATGAAGTGCCCAGTAAAGGAGATTAAATTTTGCAGCAGTTCTGCTGCTGTGTTTCTAATTGTGAATGTACCTTTGTGCCTTGGATAGATGCGGGATAGAATGAAAGTAAAGTATTTTATACTTCCAGTAAGAAAGCCAGCCTCTGCCAGGGTGGCTCACAATCCCAAACTCCTATTAGGTTGGTCATTATTGTTCACTTTCCAGTCAAACAGCACAGCACAGGCTCTTTTACTAACATGGCTACACAGGGAATTTGAAACATTACTCTTCAATACTACTGTGATCTATATCCTTACAGGAATAGTCACAGATAAACTGTTCATTTAATAGTAAATTCTGTTTAGAGCTACCCTTCTTTAGCTCTCTCTCACACTCTCCATATGACATCACAAATACTTTATATTTCACACAAACCACAAATGCAACTCTGTGCAGTAGTCATGACAAATTATAAAGGTGCAGTAGTCATGACAAATTATAAAGCTCTAAACCCGTAACACTGAACCTGGGACATTCCAGAAGATTGCCCTGCAATCCACCTCAGACAGAAAGAGTAATTTCTGATTTTTCAATGCTGGAAAAATATGAAAAACGTGAAAGGCAGAATGGCAAATATCTTTAAAGTTGACAGGGTCCTGACAATAAATATTTTCACAACTGAGTATGGAGGTTTGAGATAATGGTATTAATATTTGTTTAAATTACTATAGCATGAGGTTGCCAAGCAAAAAAGCAAGGGGTACTATCATAAATTCTTAGAAAAAAGACAGTGATTAACTGTACTCGCTGCTTCTTTTGGCAATAGAAAAATAAAGCCTCTGTTGCTCTCAGCAGTGCAATTTTCTTATGCCAAAGCTATCTCTCCAAAATCCCTTCAATATGCAAAAGTTAACTTCTCCTCTCTCCATTAAAACATATGAAGAAGTGTATGAAAATATTACAGCTCAGTGAGTGACTTCAGATCATGAACATGCTCAGAACTTCACTGAGGACAAAAACTATTGGTTTGCCATTTGTGCAAGCACAGTATTTGCCCAGTTGCTCACGGGATGCCATAGTACTAAACACTGTCATTTATTTGAATTCTGTGATTAGATATTAGTTGAAAATTTGCCCTTTTACATTTACTTTGCCTTTTTTTTTTTTTCTTTTTTTGTGGGTCTGAAGATCCTGTTATTTCTGAGTTATTCTGCTTCCCATAATGTTATTTGAGAGATAGGATCTAGAAGGTATTATCATATTGGGAGAGATTTTATCTTAAAAAGGGAAATCAAAACAACTAAAAGCAATGAAAACAAAAACTAGATGTTCTTTTCTGTATGATTCTGAAAGGCCCCATTTTAAAGAATATCCATGTACCTATTCAGACAAGAAACTGGAAAAAAAGTAGTGAATGAAACACAGACACTTTCTGTAGCTTGGGGAAGGACATTTTTATTATTCAGCATCAATTATGCAAAGAGAACTACTATCTGAATAAATGGTTTGATATTTTCAGATATAATGGAGAAACTTACCTGCTGAAATTTTGCAGGCATAAGAGAAGAGCTGTGCTACAGCATATTCCAAAGTCACCCAGAGCACCCTCACCTCTGACAAGAGCTGTGAGGCAGGAGCAGACTTGCACCCTGCCCCACTGAAAGTGCCAGAGGTGCTTGTAATTAATGCCTGCTGTAAAAGGTGGAATGTGCATACGTAACTCTGTGAACATGTCTGTGAAAGTGTGCAGGGGGATTAAAAGTTCTGAGATGAGCTGCAGAGGAGTACTTAGAAATTCTTGGTTGCTTATTAACATTTTATGGCATGTCTAGTGTTGCTGTCACCTGCTGTACTGCTGCTCTTGAACTGAATGTGTCAGCTGGTTGATTGCTGGTTAACTCTGATTAATAAATCAATAGATCACTAATTCTTTACTTGACTTAAACCACAGAGCTGAACAGTTTTTCCATGTGACAATCATTAGGGAATAAATAATGAAGAGGAAATAAATGCTTTTTTTTTTCCCTAAGGATACAAAGATATTAAACGACAGTATCAAAAGATGCATTCAGACAAAAAAAGAAGTTACTTTTCAAACACCGTGTAAAGAAATGTAAGAATTATTTTCCAAAATATGTACTGGATGTTAAATGGGTTAAAAATCGATTGAAAGAAATTCATGGAAGGAAAATGGCTGTTAAATGTAATACTTCTATCTGCTGAACTACAAACTATTGATTATACTGAATGCCTTTGGTATTTCATTATACTAAATGCATATTGATATACTGAATGTATTTGGTACATTCAAATGTACTATTTGAATAATTATACAGGAGAGGTAACACTACATGTTTGTGCCATTCTAATGTTTTTTTTTCTCAGGCATTCACCAGTAGCCACTGGTAGAAATAAAGATATCTGAGCAGTTGTCTGTTGTTTTCTCTCTCTATTGCAGGATTTTTTTTTCTCTACTAAGAACTAGTTCAGGAGCACTTCTGCCATTTTGCCTCAGTGCTGCACATAAATCTGTTTGTATGTCATAATAAATACCAAGGACACATTGAATTTTCACAAAACCACAAGTAACAAACTTTATAAACCAGTATGAATTAAATGAAATAAAATTCCACTCGTTATGCTAATGGAGTTCCAAAGTCCCATCAAAGCCCAGAAACATTGGCACGGTGTACAATTTATGTAACGATTCTATGGAAAACCCTTGGAAGTGCTGGAGTAATGCTCTGCTTTTCCCCCACCACAGGAATGATCCACAAAACTACATAAAATCAGTTCTCAGATCAGTGAATTTTCATCCAGACAAAACAAAGAAGAGGAGATGCCCCTGAGTTGGCTTCCCTTCACTCTCTCTGAAAACTTTATTCAATCAGCACCTTAAGAGAGGAACAACAAATGGTCCCCATTTGCCTAAGAATTAAGATTAAAAGCTAGAGCCAAACAGTGATTGAAGAGCCATTCCTATGTGGAATTGGAAATCACTTGCTTTAAAGTGCTCTCATCTTTTTTTCCCCTCTCTCTAGGAAATATTTTTAACAAGGAATAACAGATTTTTTTCACAGCACAGTTTTCTTCCAAAGATAAATTCTAGCATCACAAAGAACTAGATGTCATATCCAAGAAACCCAGTTTTAGGCCTATAAAAATACTTCTCAGTATTACTCTAGGTTTAATCACAGTGACATCCTAATCTTTCCTAAGAAAGATAAAATAACACATTATAGCTCCACTTAGTTTCAGAAGGAAGTATTTTCACAGGAGTTCAGTGACAGAGCAGCACTTCTGACGGCTCTGTTGTTAGAGCTGTTTTCTTGGGAAGTGCCTTTAACTGTTAAAATATTGCACTCTATCAGACTATGAGGATACTTACCCTGTTTCAAAGACACATGCTGATGTTAAGGCAATGCGTTCCAGAGAATTCCAAAGTTTCAAACACGTTTCACAGCGAAAAAATACAGTCACTGGATTAACTTTTTGTTGTAGTTATGCACAGCACATGACCAAAGTGATCTTACCTTCAAGTGTGGTATATAGAAGGGGTGAGTGAGGCAGAAAGGATCAAATTGGACTACAATCTACCGGCAAACTACTGATCTACTACAGGCTTTTTAGAAAATAAATTCTGGAGACATTGTGTCAAAGTGAGTTTAATGCCAGCATCTTACAAAACAGTATTAAAAATGTTTCATAATCTCAACATAAGTATTGATTCCATTAACATTTTTATTGAATGACATTTACTTATTTTGATTTCTTTCTTCTCTTGTTCTCATTTTCAAATAAGATTTAAGTAACTATTTTTCTAGAAAATGAATGTCAATACTGTGTTCTGTTTACAAAAATTTCCCAGACCACCCATTAGCATAGAATTTAAGTAACAGGGCTGTGTGACGAGTCCCTATCTCTTCATTTGCCAGTTCAACCCCCAATAGTTGAAACAGTAATGCAATATCTTACAAAAATAACTTGCAAGATTTGTTTGTGTTTTAAAGCTTTGGCTCAGATACTGAAAACATGTATATGCTTCACCCAGCAACAGAATATATTCCCCTTCTTGAGAACCTTAGAGTTAGATGACTAAAGCAATGTAGTGTTTTGTAGGCAGATATAGAATGTTTTGTGTACTGCACAGTATAAACACGTAAAAAAAGTTTACAAGTGTATTTTCAAATTCTTTTCACCAAGGATGATAGTCAAAAATTATCCCTGAACAGATACATTCTGACTCTAACATAAGTTAGGCCAGATTCTGAGACTTGTGTATTTGCACATAGTTGTGTGCCAAACACCAACATTATCAGTCAACCTTAAGGCCTTTGAAAAACCACAGGCCATCACTTACCCAGGCCTGCATTTCCATTTACCTCCCATCAGCTGACCCAAAATTTGGCAACTTTTCTTTAATTGATGCTGAGTACTCAAACATTTTACCAATGTATGAACAGATGAAAAGTATGGGGGAATGAATATGGACTGACACCAAAATTTAAAAATATGTATATTTGCTAATTTACTGACACGCCTTTCATATAAGGCACATTAACAAGTGAGCTGTCCTGCAACTAATATTGATGTATTGATTCAAAGGCAAAGAAGATTACACTGTTGCAATGTATAATTCATGTTGTCAAGCACAACATTACAATTTAATTAAGAGGCAAACACAGTTTACCTCCTCAGCAATTATTTTTTAAATCTGTGTCATCCATGATTAATGTGATTGTAAAAATGACTGTATCAACAACTTACAATTTCTCTTATAAAAGCTTCCCAAACCTAAACATTTTCTTCAGTCTTTTTCAAGTAAATGGCACTTAAATGCATGATAATGTATTTTGACTACATTAGAAGTTTCTCTTAAGTAATAAAAATCAATCTGCCATCATTCCAAAGTTTCCTGAACATGCTTAAAATGCATGTCCAGTAATCTATGCTATTTTAGTGTTAAATAATGAGGTAGCACATTGTTCCAAAATTGTTCTGAATTATGTAAACCATTTGCTACATGCTGTTTGGACTTCACGATTTGTTTAGAGCCATTTGGTAAAGCAGCACTTTCTGTCTTTTCTGGCTTCCTGGATTTGCTTTTCTTTTGTGGAAGTTTATTACGATAATTTTTTCTTTTATCTTTTGCTTTTTCCTCTTCCTCTTCTTCTTCCTCCTCTCCCTCATCCTCTTCTTTCTCCTCTTCCTCATCCTCTTCTTCCTCCTCTCCTACATCCCTTTCCTTCTCTTCTTCCTCTTCCCCCTCTCCCTCTTCCCCTTCTTCTTCTCCCTCTTCCCCTTCTTCTCCCTCTTCCCCTGCCCCTTCTTCTTCCTCTTCATCCTCTTCTTCCTCTTCCTCTTCTTCTTCTGCTTCTTCATCTTCTTCTGCTTCTTCTTCTTCTGCTGTTTCTTCTTCCTGCACTCCCTCTTCTCCCTCCTCTTCCTCTTCTTCCACTCCTTCTTCCTCATCTTCCTCTTCTTCTGCTCCCTCTTCTTGCTCATCTCCCTCTTCCTCTTCCATTGCCTCTTCTCCCTCTTCTTCCTCATCTCCCTCTTCTTCTTCCTCATCTCCCTCTTCTTCTTCCACTGCCTTTTCTTCCTCTTCTTCCTCATCTCCCTCTTCTTCTTCCACTGCCTTTTCTTCCTCTTCTTCCTCATCTTCCTCTTCTTCTTCCACTGCCTCTTGTTCCTCATCTTCTCCAACTCCCTCTTCTTTTTCCTCCCCCACTCCCTCATCCTCTTCTACTCCTTCTTCCTCTTCTTCATTTCCCCCCTCTTCTTCTTCCTTTTCATCTTCACCACCCTCCTCCACTTCTGCTTCTGCTTCTGTTCCTTTTCCTTTCTCCTCATCTTTTCTTTCCTCTTCAATTTCATCCTCTCCTTCTTCTACTCCATCCTCCTCCCCTTCTGCTTCTGCCTCTGTTCCTTCCTTTCTCCTCATCTTTTCTTTCCTGTTCCACTTCATCCTCTCCCTCTACCTCTTCTCCTTCTTCCACTCCATCCTCCTCCACCTCCTTAGTCCTCATATCTTCTTCCTGTTCTTCTTCAGATACTTCTTCTTCCTTCCCTGCCAATGGTTCTCCTAACTCCTTCTCTTCAACCTCTTTGTCTTTTTCTTTCTCTCTTTCCTCATTTTCTTCTTCATTTTCCTTCTCATCTTCTCCTTCCTCTTCTGCCTCCCCCTCTCTATCTTCACCTCCTTCCTCACTCTCATTTCTTCCCTCACTTTTAATCTGCTCCTCCTTTTCTTTTTCAGTGCCTTCCTCTTTTGCATACTTCTCCATATCCTCCTTTTCTCCCTCACTCAGCATTTCTTCTTCCTCCATCAACCTGCCTTGGTCATCTCCTTGATCTTTGTCATTTTCCTGATTAACCTCTTCAGTCTCCTCTGCACTCTCATTCTCACTGTCTTTCTCACCCTCTGATTCCTGTCTTTCATTTTCTTCATTATCTTTTTCCTCCTCATCTTCATCTTTTTCTACTGAAACTTCATCTCTGCCTTTCTTACACTCACTGTCTTCTTCTTCCTCCCCTAGTTTACCTTCACTGTCAATTGTTTCATCTAGTTTTTCACTTTCACCCTTTTCACTGCCTTCACTCTCCTGCTCTTGATCAGAATCCTCCCCGTTCTTAATTTCTAACTGCCCATCTTCATTAGATTTAGCATCAGAGTTTGATTCTTCCTCATTCTGGCTTTTTAAATCAGTGTCTTCTATACATTCTTTCTCATTGTTTCTTATTTGCATCTCCTCAATCTCACTGTCTTCTTTTTCTAAGTCCAAATCTTCCACGTTTTCTACTGTTCTTGCCTTCTGGATGTCTCTGCCTTCACTGTAGTCCTCTTCTTTCTTCCTACGCTTAAGCACATACTTTTCAAGATCATAACTACTTTCCTCAGTTGAAGATGATGACATGCTTACAGATATTTTAAACCCTATCTTCTCTGCACTGCTTTCTTCTCCTTTGACGTGTGTTTTTTCACACTTCTCAGATTTTTCAGCAACATCCTTTATTTTGTTTTGACTTTTTATTACTTCTCGACTTTCTTCCTTTTGAACGGGATTGTATTTTTCTACAGTTAAGGAATCGTCAGTCTGGGGACGATCCCTGGATGTAGAAGGAAGTACCTCTATTTTAAGAGATTGCTTAGATTTAATGGCTTTTGACTTTTTATCAGAAGAATTTGTTCTTTCAGACAGAACTTGATTTTCAGTTGGAAGATTATAAGTTACATCCTCTCTGAAAAATTCAGGATTTTCCACATATTCTTCTTCGCTTTTCACTAATCTGCTTTTGTCCCCAGTCATTTGTTGAACACCCCTTTTCAAAGTGCTAACACTTTGTGCATGCTCAGATTTACCTTTTGTTGGTTTTTTTTTGGCCACAGGCTTCCCTACAAAGGCACTACTCTTTTCTAAATCTTGTCCTGGTGACTCTGAAAGTGAGGACTGCTTTTGTAAAGAGCCAGAGTCCAATTTTGAGCCCTCCTTTGTGCAATCAGAATCTTTGTTTTTCAACCCACCCTTACCATCTCTTTTCAGTTTCACATTTTTATTGTTCTTCTATTCCACACGAGAAGCAGAAAATTAAAAAGAAAGAAAAAAAAAGCATTAAAGACAAATGGCAGCAAAAGAAAAAGGTTAGAAAAGCATCTGAACAAGAAAAGAAACAATTTGTGCGAGGGGATTAAAAGACAGCACGAAAAGTAGCATATTTCACATGAAATGAATTCACCAGTGCATCTATGAGACGAATGTAACATTCTGTTAATAATTCATGTGCTGCTACACCTTTCTGACTAAGCCAGCACTGCGAGGGAATGCAGGAAGGACTGTGCATCCACTGCCACTTCTCATGAGCCAGAGTAGATGCAATGCATGAGGTTGTGGCAAACAGAAGGAATAAGTACAGTTCTTTTACACCTTCCTCCACCTCTCCCCTGGAAAATCTTCTGATGCACTCACTGCTGTGCTCTTTCTAAGAAGTTTGAATATCTGTTGCCTTTCTGCTTTAAATTTTATGCTTATTTAACAAATTTTGCAGAATAATTCTTAAAACCTAAAATAAAATTATAAAGAAATATAACAAAATGCTGAAAAGCCAGAATCACTTTAGGTGTGAAATAAGAATGTAATACAAAGTATTTGAACTTCATGATTAAAACCAGTAATTTTGCTACTTTAAATATAATCTATGGTGAATATCTGCCAGTAAAGTTTTTACTTACACTGTGTCCCAAAAGTCAATTGAAATATTTTCATAACAACAAACCAGTAGAAATGAATGTATGTGAAATGTGTATATGTGTCTCTTGCTCCTTAAACTGGTGAAATATTATATACTCTCATCTCAAACCACACTGGATTGGAGGAGTTCTATGTGCCTGCACAAATTCTCTCTGACTTCAGTCAGCTTCTTAGAATTTTAGCTTAGAACTGGATATTCAGAAAATTAGCAAGAGGAGGCCAATAAATTTGCCTAGCTTTTTTTTGCCTTGCAAAAACAATGAAGTACTAGGATAACACAAGAATTGAAGATTTTTTGAATATCAGTATAAATACACATGTATATAATTAGTTACAGTACCTTCTGTTTTTGGAGTGGTGATAATTCTACAGACCAGTCACTGGGATTTAATTTCACAGCATGTGTCTGCAAAAAATAAGATCTTTATTAAAAAAAAAAATATAACTAACAGGTAAAGCAGCATCAAAGCTCAGTTCTACTAAACAGAGCAATTTTATGAACATTTTAATATTACTGTAGTTAGGTTAAGACAAATCTGTACAATCATTAAACTCTCCTTTTCACTTCCACTCCTTCATTTACTACTTATAAAGTGAGTGGTAACCAGCCTAGATGGTCTGTAGAGACTGAAAGCCCACAAGCACTTTTGAGATCCACCTTCCACTCACCATGAAGTTGAGGCTACAAATATAACACCTGATTATCACAATCTTCAACTCAACATCCAGTTTGATACCACAGCCTTGAAAGAATATGTTAAAAGAAACATTACAAAGCCGAAATTCTCCTTGGAATCCCTCATCTACATAAAGCATAAAACCAAAAGGCAAGGCAGAATATTACCAGGTGGGCATGCATAGTGAGATTTTGGTCATGTATTCCAAATGACCAGATAATGTTCTTTGCTGCTGTTTGTTAACTGCTTATGGCTTAATCACCATAATCTTTTTCAGCACAGTTGTGGTTTCAGACTTCCAAAAATTTGTCTCATCAGTATGACATTAAAGGTTTTCCTCCACCTGTCAGACTCATCAAGAAGACATATATTGCCACAGCTTAGAAAAATTGAGGCAACTACACTATATCAGGGTATTTTCATTTAGATTCAAGAAGAGTGATCATTTTATTTTGCATTTTGACAAGTTTGCCTGATGGGCTTTCTTCAAACTTACTGTTTCATTCTGATAAATGTTTTAAAATTGATTCATGATAAGCACAAAACCTAAAAGGAGAAGGAAGTCTAGCTCATAAAGTGTGCAATATATAAATAAGGCCAGGCTGTGCATTGTATGTGAAAACACTTTTTTTCTTGTAAATCAAGTTTCATAACTGCAAAATAAATGGTATGTACAAACAGACTGTTAAATTACTAAGTACTTTTAAGTACAAGCAAATAATAATTCCTGTAAAATGTGCAATCCCTCCACCATAACTGACACCATATTCAGAGCTGAATTCACAGAGAGTTTCCATTCCAGCAAAGGCTAAAAAAGACAAACCCCAGCTCTCTTTCCAGTGCATTGCATTAAGGCCTGGACACATCCTATTTGCTGAGTGAACAAAACTGTTTTGGAAAAGTGTACAAGTGATAAGGTGAACATGTTTTTTAAATAAAAGAAGTATGTAGGAACAAGCTTGGGGATCACCAAAGAATCAAAATGTCTGCATTTCGGTCTTCTCTTTAATATGCTCCACCTGTACTAAACCTCTTCTGGAAACAGGAAAAGACAGCTCTTCTGCTTCATTTCCTGCAATTCTCTCTTGGAAATCATCAAGAAAATCAAGGTCAGAGATAGAGATCACCATGTGGTATCCGGCATCTTTTTCCTTTTCTTTCTGATTACCAGAGCTAAAGAGTGGGGAGGGGTTGCATTACTTGGACTGCTTTAATCTCATACTACAACATTACTTGGGAAAATAAAACATATTTTAGCGCTGGATAATGATGATATGAAATGCATGCCCATTTTACTTTCAGTACTTCTTGGTGTCACATAGGATGTTCTGGGCTAGTTGGGAGTTCCAAACTAGAACCTGAAGCGTGATTTAGCTTCTTTGTCTTCCTCTGCATAAAAAAATGATTCAATTACAAATTCATTATTGGAATATATTACCATATTTAGGATGTCAGTTGTATCTCCCAGGTTTCTGTCAGTACTGTCATTATCTGAATCTTCTTCTGCAGAGGCTTCACCAGATTTACCCTTTCGATGATCATTTTCTACAAGGTAAAATAGGGGGAAATGAACAAATTCCATAGGAAAAATCAATATATAGCAAACACAACACCCTACTCTTATAAAATATAGATTATTTCTAATTTTCTGACATAGAACTGAAGTACTGAGATTCCTCATTCCCCCATCCTAAGACACAGAAGAAACACTTCCATCTCCTTTTCTTCAGTGTTAACATTAGAGGTTAATACTGAGACCAACAATCTAGTCTCAGTGCACTGTAGATCTCTGACCATTTCTGCAGGCTTTCAAAGCATAAATATTACATGGGACATAGATTCTTTTGGATAATCTTTTCAATAATAGTGCAACAATTAGACCAAATTAGCTGCAGTCATGTTAACTACATTATACATTACCCATGCAATGGATGGAGAGATAGTGAGTTTAACTGCAATGCAGCATTATAAAAATGTTCCTATGGAATTTTTAGGATCACCTCCCTCAAGTCCATCAGGTATGACTATTCCATACAGCACAAAAACTGAGGTTTTAGGCCTAGGAAGACTCTAAAGGCAATTCAAATTTCACTGCATTGCTTTCCTGGAACCAGAAATGGTAGTGGATATGCTGGCTGCTTTACAAATAATCATATTAATCTTAACTGAATTAATTACTTTCAAATTAGATTTGACTGTCCAATAAATCTGAGCTAACCTTTACACAGAAGCACTGCATTCTGCACTCTTCAGCACTGCTCCTCCAAGGAAATCACACATGCCCAGGAACCCAGATAAGTCCAGAACTGTTCTAGAGAATCTGTGCAAAAGTCCAGTGCTGCATCAGTATTATGGTTATCCAGGCTTTTGCATTAACTAGAATATTATAAATCCTTATTATTTTAGATAATAGAGAGTATTTTGCATTTCCAAGTAAAGAAGAAAAGTCCTGTAAGAATTAGTAGACCTCTTCTCTTATACAAGTTCTCTTGTAGACCTTCCTGTCTCTACCTAAAAATTGTCCCTAACAAATTTTTTTTCCTGTAATTCCCTTTTTATGATGAAAATGGAGAGAGTACTTAATATTCTTACAGTCTTTATTTGTGAAGTCCTATTTCTAAAGGCTTAAGGAACCACAGCTGCAATTTAGAAGTTGTTTTTTCTTTCACTCAAGCCTCCCCTAAATCTCTGTGTTTTCCAAACATGAATAGTGTGAGGCAGATTTTTGCCTGCATTTCTCAGCTTTCATGTCTGTATGCTCTTGAGGGAAGATTGAACTCAAACCTCCTTTCATACTCAAACTGAGCATCATTTATGAATGCTGAGGGCCAAACCAAACTTATCAGAAGACAGCAGCAAGATGTGGGGACACTTCACCTTTTTCACTGTCTCCATCCATTGCAGATTCAGCTTTAGAAAGACTTGTTGCAGAAAAGCTGAATGGGGTGGTGTTGCTTGTCACAGGCAATGAAGATTTTAAGAACCTTTCTCCCAGTGGGGGCAGAGTTTGTGCCATTCGAATAAACTGTTCTGGTGACCTTTCCTTTAGAAGATTAAAAAAAATATATTGAGAATAAGGGTAGAAGAACAAAATGTAAGCAATTTCTCATATTAAATAGTGGTATTTTCTTTTAGTCAATGATAATTTTTATACAAAGCAGAAGAAAATATCTTCAATATTTTAATTACTTATAATCCTAAAAAGTGGACAGGTACATAGAGGGATTTTTTTAGATCGTTTATACACAATAATTTCAAGCAATCTTAAAATACAGAAAAAGGGGAAAAAGAACTTATATTCAAGATTTCTATTTAAAATGAAAAACTACTCTCTAAAATGACACTGAGATATTTAATCCACAACATCAATACATTTTTACAAAATAAATGCAGTTTTTGGTAGAGTTAGTTTTCAGAGAGGTAAGTGAAATAATCCAACTCATCATGCTACTTAAAGGAATCACATGGAATGCAAAGTGGAGATAAAGCTGAAAAGACTACTATTTTAAGTAGCTACAGGATTTAGGGATATTTTAAGACTGATTGTGAAATGTTCTCCTTATATATTTTATAAACTATGAACTTGTTTAATATATTCAAGGACTCAGAGGGAAGAACAAAAGAGTCAGGTTCTTGGCATCATTAAAAATATTTATAAAACATTTTTGAAAATGCAATGGAACAGGTTCTACATTTTAGAACAACAACAAAAAATACAAACCCAATTTGAATTTTTTTTTCACAGAAATAAACAAGCAAAATCTGACCAATACCTATGCTTTTCCTGCATCCATTTTTGGAATCAGGGTAAATATTAGTTTTTCTTTTTATACATTAAATTTAAGACATTTATCTTAAGAAGATGTATTTATCTGCTGGGTATATGGTGTGATTTTTAGCTTTAAAAGTGATTTTGTTTCCTAAAAGAAGTATGGCAGCTCTAAACAGCTCTGGGTTTACCCTCTCCCGACGTCGCATTCGTGCTGCTGACAGTTGTAAGGTGTCTGCCAGTACAAAGTCCCCACTCATTTTAGGGATGGTAGCAGTCAAAGGATTCTCATATAAATCTTCCAAGAGTATTTCTTCAGATCCTTTAGGTCTCGGAGCAGCAAAAACCAGCATGTGACAACCACCACAAGCAACCTACAGCTCCAAAAAAAGGTCTGATTATTTCAGGTATCAATACAAGGATGGCATTTTCTTACATCATCTCAAGGGGCTTAGATTATAAGAAAAATGTAATAAAGGTAAGACATCTCAAATTGCTTTAAATTTTGCTCCTAATTACATCAGCAAGACAAAAGTCCTTAATTATGTTTATTAATGACTAATGATCTATCTTCACTTCTTCTTGGCTGAACACAATATATTTGTATTGAACAGAACAAAAGACAGACATTTCCATGGATTTTCAGAGAGATTTGAGCTAAACATTTTGATACTAGTCAAATGTGGCCAATACTGATGGTTTCAGTCACACAAATCTAGTTGTTTTATCTCAAAATCCACAAAACGTAAAGCAAATCGTAATCTCTCCAATATATGCAGTATTATTACACAAAGATCAGAAGTTTCACTTCTTTAAAAGTTTAAAAACTTCACCACTTCTAATTAAAGTCCCTTAAAGTCTAATTTCAGTAAACAGAGGATAAACAGACTTTAGTCCCAAATTTTGCTTAATCCTGAGTTGTGTTAGCATTTTTGAAGCTGACAGTTCTGTGACGTTTATTGCTTCTACACCTCGAAAAATAGATGAAAACAATTCCCTTAAAATGAAAGAGTATTCCTGTTTCTCATCCCATTTGGATTCTTAAAAGCAAAACCTCAAATATTCTCAAGGTTTAAAAACATCCCGCTGTACAAAAATTGCCAAAATTGAAACGGTGACACTCTGGTTTTTTCAGAAAAGATATAAATTTCCCCCTATTCCAACAACCTAAGAGTAATAAATATTTAATTTTATAGGCTACCATAGCTCTATATCACCAAATCACCATAGCACAAAAATACTAAATAAAACCCTAAAAAAGAAGTCTATATGTGTAGTCCAAGCCAAAGAAATTCCAAACAGGTAAGCATATATAATTTCCTTTTTCTTTCAATTTGTGTTGTCAACTAATTAAATGTTACAGAAATAAATACTTCTATAATAAGATTTCAATTCTCATTAATAATGTGTTTCATAAAAAGGTGTCTGAGAAGCATGAGCAAAAGTTTTACCAAAAGCACTGTGAACTTCAAGAAATTATAACACAGAGTGGGATCAAACAGGTTTGTAAAACTCTCTTCTCCAAAGCCCAACTTGCCATGTCGTCCATCTCCAAAAGTAAACATGAGGCCATTTTCTATATATGGGGAAAAAAAGGATGTTATAACCAAGATTCAATACAAAACCAGGACAGAATTAGAATAACAGGCCATGAAAGTAAGGAATACTTTTCTTCCAAAACCAAAAGCTGAACAATTATTTTTGGAATTTCAACAGATGAATATGATTTTTAAAAATATGCATATTTTCAGACAAAGGACTGTCTGAGATGCAAGTTAGTCTAGACAATTTGCAAAAAAGAAAAAACCCACCCTAACAAAATAACATGATTTAAACAATAGAGAAAAACAAAGGCTTCTAAGCAAGAATATTTGTTAGAGTAAGGCAGGCTTATGAGGCTATAATTCCCCAGGAGATACAGGGCACAGAGTCATGCGTGGCATGGATGTGAATCAGGAATTCCTATCAAATCTGGCTTCCTCACTGGCTCTTTTACCCTTCAGAACCAGTACATTTGCACATGTTTTCTGCTATTGCTTGTTTTATAACAGATACAACAGCAAGTTGCTGGAAGTTCACTTCAGACTTTTGCACTTACATACCTGCTATTACAGCAGTGTGATTTTCCCCACATGCAACGTTACATATTTTATGCTTCTTCAAGTGTTTCACAGGCTTCGGTACTGAAGATTCAAAAACAAAAGTACCATGGCCCAGCTGCCCATATTGTCCAAGTCCAAAAGTATAGACATCTGTCTCTGAAATTGTACAGGCAAAGTTAATATAAAATATGCTAATGTATTTATACATATATATATATTTATATAGTAAATGGTTTTCTATTAGCCAAATGGAAGGTAACTGACATCAGCAGCAAAAAAAGCAATTTTTAATCAATTAAAAAGAAGTAACAATGGATCATTAAAATATATAACAGAAAATTTTGAATGGTTCAATATGCAACAAATTTTCTAACATAACTGCAAAGTAACCCACTGATCACAGATAAATGAGGTACCAGTTAAAAAAAAATTAATGAAATTTACATAATGCAGTCAATTCAAGACCACAATGTTTACACATATGTGCATTTTCAAGTGCAATAGTCTCATCTTAATTTCTCTTTACCTTCATGTACCTTGTATGACCCTAAAATTCTTTAAACCAATACTCATTTGTATGTAAGAAGTGACTGGAACAGAAGAGGTTTCAGTATTCTGTTCAGCTACCAAATCAGCCCTGCACTAAACACAGAGAAGACTACAATTGTGTTATCTTGTGACAGAATAATCATCTTTCCACATTTACATTTTGTCTGTTTAATGGTCTGTCTGTGCCAGGAAAAAGAATAAAAGCTTCTCCAAAGCAATAAAGATTCTTGGTGTGTCCATCCCTGGCACTCCATCACAACAGGGGAAGACTGTGAATCTTGGAAATCTTGATGAGGTCATGTTTGAAAAGAGAAGTTCTTTGGGAAAAACAAGAAGTTTTCCTAGAATTTTATTCCCTGCTCCTTTTTCTTTTGCATGTGGGCAACAAAGGAAAAGCCAGAGAACTATTAATTGAAGTACTTGAAAAATTATCAAGAAAACCTGGGAAAGATTGGAAAGGAAAAAAATATTGTATGTTAAGTAAAAAGAACTTGGGAGCAAAAGGTATCGTTACATGAGTGTTATGAATTCGGTGCAGAACATGCCCACTTTGGCTGCAGAGATGCCATCAGATCAAAATGCATCCACAAACTGGAGAAATACTAAAAACTGATCATGTTACCATTCCCTCAAACAAATCCTTCACTGCTGTCAGGGAAAGAGAAAGCAGAGAACAGACCCGGTTACAAACCACTACCACAGCACACTTACACTAAACTTTCCGATTTTAAAAGAACCTTGATGAAATTGTGTAACACTACATATGGAAATGTTCTTTCTAGGAAAGTCTTTGCCCTTTCTATTCCTTTAAAACTGTGCCACATTACGATGTCATGAATTCCCACTGTAAAAAACCCCAACGGTCTCACTTTTCTTCCAGATTGTAGATGAAAGATATTGAGTAAACCTTTTTTTTTTTTTTTTTTTTTAACTAAATGTAATGGGAAAGCTCCCTCTGCTGGAAATTTTAGTGCAAGAAAGCAACACCTTCTCAGGAGCTTTAGAAAGTAAAACCAGAAATTTCCTGTAACATTTAGACTTTCTGCACAAGAATCAAGAAACAACACCTGAAAGACAGGAGCTTTTTCTAAGCAAACCAGAGTCTCCTACTCATTTTAGCAAATTACTTTCTCAGGATGGCTGATTCCATAAATTTGGCTTAGAAGTATTGCATTTTTCTTAACGTTTCTCTGGAAATTGGCAGATCTTGTAATTTTCAAATTATATGCCTTTATTTGATTAACATAATTACTTTGAGTGAAGCTGGAGGGTTTTTTTCACATTATCTTTAATTCTAGTACGAAATAAGCAATGTATTCTGCCTTTGTGTCTAGAGGGAGATGTTCTCAAATGTTAATTTTAAAAGTGCAGGAAATATTTTCTTTTCTCTCTTTCTGCTGACCATGAGGAGAAAGGGGTGATCCCAAGCCAGGCTGGAGTGCCTTTATAAGAACAATGATTTCTTCTGCTGCTCTTACAGACCAGGGGCATTTAAATGTTGCTCCTCCTAAACTTACTTCTTAGTCAATTAACAGGGCACAGGAGGAGAAAAACCTTGCACCTTTCTTAAGCAATTCACTGCTCTGGTGCAGCGGTGAGGCCAAACCTTAGTAATAACGTCATTTAGTAGAAATGAGGTATTTTCTCCAATCTGTCCTTATAAATATGTGGAAAGAAAAGTGTATGGCAAAGCAACCTCATACACTTAGTGATAAAATGCCAGTGGAAAACTTCACCATTCTGAACTTGGATTTGCAAATAAAATTGCCTACAGTATGCGCTGCCTCCAGTGCATCTGTGAAACACAAGGAAGGTTCAGACACCAAAACAGCACCCAGAAGGAAGAGAGCATGAGTCCTGTCTCTGCCTTGAGGATCTGCTGTCTCCACAGCAGGAGCCCATGGGAGGGCCCTTGACAGATGAAGAGAAACAGTTTCAGAGCTTGCACAGATGCCAATGGCTTCTTTTTCCCAAATGACCTCCAGCACCTGAGTGATGGGACTGCTTCTCCTTTTCTTCCTACATTTCTTTTTTTTTTGAAGAACAGGAGTATTTCCCTGTATTTGCTTAACTTCCAACTTTGCAGGCATATTTTGTAATCTCCGTGATCATTGGCACTATCAGTAAAATAGTCCTAGGCAAAAATCTATACAGTTTTGTTTTTTTTTTTTTTTTTTTAAACATGCCATTTGCTTAAAGAACTGTGTGAGCTCTGAGAATGTCTTTAGGAATTATGTATTCGCTGATATGTATTTAAGGCTACAGACAAAGTTTAAAAACCCACTGAACTAAAACAGAGCAAACAGGTATGATTACATCATAGAATCATGGAATCACAGAATGGCTTAGGTTGGAAGGTACCTTAAAGATCACCTAGTGCCAACCCTCCCTGCCACAGGCAGGGACACTTCTCACAATACTAGGTTGTCCCAAGCCCCATCCAGCCTGGCCTTGAACACTTCCAGGGATGGGGCATCCACCGTTTCTCTGGGCGACCTTTTGTAGTGCCTCACCACCTTCTGAGTGAAGAATTTCTTCCTAATAACTCATCTAAATGAGTTTGAAGCCATTCCCCTCATCCTGTCACTACATGCTCTTATAAATAGTCCCTCTTCATCTTTCTTGTGGGCTCTCTTCAGGTTCTGGAAGGTTGCAATTAGTTCACCCCAAAGCCTTCTCTTTTCCAGCTGAACAACCCCAATTCTCTCAGCCTTTCCTCATAGGAGAGGTGATCCATCCCTCTGATCATCTTGGTGGCCTCTCCACATAGATTAATTTCCAAATATTATTATTATTATTACTGTAACTACTATGTCAATGGGCTATTCACTCTTACAGTAGCTTTCTTTTTAAACATCTTATACTGAAAAATGTTACTGTAAAAAAATCATCTATCAACACAATACTCAGTATTACCAGACCTAGTAATTGGATTTGGGGATTTCAGTATAAATAATATACAGACTTAAGAATGGTTTGAAAAATCTACATAATCCCATGTGGTTTGAACAGTGGGTTCTGTCAGGAAAAGGTAGAGCTTTTTCATCCTTTTCATCCTCTTTCAAAAGGGTGTTGTGGCTTTCTTTTCTTTCTAAAAGACCTTGAGACAGAAGATGAAAAATCCAACATTTTACATACTAATGCACTAATGTGCTGTATTGTTGTGTCAAACATTCTATTCTTGAAGGACTACTTCACTTTTTCCTTTGAAGAGCTATCTTTGCTTTCCCTCCTTTCAGAGAATGAAAGGAGGTAATATATCCTTCTGTAGGCAAGATTATTCCCAGAGGATCTGCCGTCATCTGAAAAAAACTGGAAGATATTAAGGCCACTCCAAATCATCTGTTTCCTCTTCTCCAATTACTAGATTCACATTTATTATTATCCTGTTAAAACGCTTGACTGAAAAAGTACACAAATTGTGATTGTTGCTCCCTTATATTTCCTTTGAAAGTGATGACACCAACACCTTTCATTTTCAGTAGGAAGCAGCTGCAAGCATTGGGGTAGTGGGTCCATTTATTTCAGTCTCTGAGAAGACTCCTGTGAGATGAGGATATGATCTTCTCAGACTGGCTGAACGACTGCCATGAAATTAATAGCTTTGTGCTACCTCAGGGAAAGAAAAAGAATTTTTAACTGCAGTTCTGTTCCTTCTCTAGAACAACTGCATATATTAAAGGCAGCAGTAACATTAAGGCTTGTAAAGAAGATAGCTTCCAATACCAATACCATAGTCAATATTTCAAAAATTTATCTTTAAGAAGGTTTTTTTTTTTATCTCCAGACATTTCTCTCAACAATTTAGTTCTTGCCCTCTGGAAAAAATAATTGAGTTTCCCATTTTGGAATTTCAGAGAAAAAGCAAAAAATAATTATTTTAATATAAAATTCTACCACTTGCTCTGATACTTGTTGCAGAGATTCCGAACAGTAGCTTTATTTAATAACCCAGATAACAGTGGTTCTCACCATACAAAATTGCCAATAGTATAGATAAGTCATAAAAAAGAAATCAAATGAAGTGCTTTGGAACAGACTAATTACGCATGAGAGTCAGGAAGAAACTTGCCTTGTACTCTGTAAGATAACTGGATTATGATTTCTTCTAATTTGATTAACCTTAAGTAGAAATGATGGCAAGAAATGAGCCAAGACGTGCAACAGTCTCTCCACATGACACTTCCTCCTACCCTATTGCTACGTTAAATGAGATAGATGAAGCTGGGGAATATTCAATAGTCAGACACTCACTTCTTGGTTTTTTTTAAAATGAAATGTCACATCCTTAAAAACTGGAAAGACCCTGAAAGGATGAGAACCATATTAGTATTGTGTTATATTGTGTTACTAAGACCAAGCATCACTCATTTTCATGGAAGATGATACATGAAATTAAGAACTTCTTCAAAATTGTACTGATTTCTTAATTCATGAAAATGAGCTTCAAACAGGCATAAATACTTCTGCTCCTCTTTAAAGATATATCATCAGAATTCTCAATTTGTGTTCACCCCACTTTATCTCAAGATGTAATTCAGGACTGATTTCAAGTTTCTGGTGCTAAAACTATAATGCATGTATGTCATAATCACTTTTAAAATTATTATTGTCCATACCCATCCTTTTTCACATTTTTTTCCCAAATTTTTCTTTGAGACAGAAAAATTTCTCTGTATTAACACTGCTGACAAAGTATCTTTAACTCAAGACAGTATTTCCACTATCCTCTACTCTTTCACTCAAAGTGTCCTGGCAGAAGTTCACAGCTGTAACCTATTTAATAATAGCTGAATCACATTAAAAAAACAACTATCTGACTTTTCACTCCTATCACAACTGCTATTAATCTTTAGGAAATTTATTTTGTTTGAGGTTATACTTTTCCTCTTTTGGTGACTCAGCTAGATCTTCTGGCACTCCACACTTTGACTGACAGCTAAGCCAGCACTGAATTTCTTATTTGCCTTCTACTACAAAATCTATTTCCATAAGCAACTAAATCTTACATACTAAGACACTGGCTTACATTACTATGTATTATTATGAAAATACCTTACTATGGTATGTCCTTCTACTACTTTTGGTTTTTTGGAATTTATATTTTGCCTCTTTGTTCTAGATCTTGTACAGATTTCACTGTAACGATGATGGCATTCAGGTTTCACCTTTCTACTAAATCTCTGTAACAGTTGTTTGTTATGATGAATTTTTATCACATGAAATACCATTAGAACAAAATATCTATTGTTTGAATCCAGATTTATGGTTAAAAAACAATCAATAATGATAATCAGATTCTTTCTGCAGAACTTCACTTTATAACACATAAAATACTGCTATGATTTACACATTTGTTGGCCTCCAATTTATGGTAATTCTTTTGCCCATAATGATAATCTGATTTCACGTAAAGAAATTTATTTTATGACATAGAATACTGCCAGGGCAAGACTGCATGTTGGTGGAAGATGAGAGACAAAGTCATTGAAATGTAGACATATGTTTGCATTATTTCCTGGACTGGCTACTGCTATTTCCTCTTCATAGTCTTCCCAAAGGAATTTTATCCTACCCAGAATCTTGCAGCTTGAATCATTACACACAGCCTTTCCCAGCATTTCACTTCCACCCTCACTCTCTGCAATGGCTTGCAGTACAATACCACATCATATTACCTGCAATCTCCCTCAGTTAGATTTTCAGTTTGTATTTTAGAAATTTTAGTTACATAACCTTGAAGGCATGTCACAAGATTGACAAGAGAATACATAGACTTTTCAGAATACATATTTAAGGACTGATAACTAATACATCCAACTTGTTTTTATAGCTTTTGCAATTTTAGTAGGAGAACAATTACAGGCTATACAGCCTTACAGATATTATATTCATTACAAGCCAAAGCTGATATTTTTTAAACCATCTGTGGGCAAAGTCAAACTTACCTTTCCTGCTTCTCTACCACTATAGTTCAGGATAGAACTTGTGGAAATAAATAGCCAGCAATGCTTTGCACATATCTCTCGGAAAAGCTGAGTCACTCCTGGCAGACAATTATTTAACAGTTCAGTAACATACACCACCTTCCAAGTACTATATATATGGCCCTGTGAACTATTCTGTAACAGTTGTATTTGCTGATTTTCATAACTTGTATGATATGTCAAATGTCTATATCTATACTAGTTTTATATGTGTGCTAAAGATTCTCCTCAAAGGCACAGGGAAAATCTGTATCACAACAAGAGATATTTAATTCACTCAGGCATCTAGTAGATAGTGAAGCTGCTACTTGAAAAAGTGACTACTTGAGCTACTACTTGAAAAGCGACTTCCTAAATACTTTACTAAATATTCAAGGTCATTTCAATTTACTACAGAATGGAACCTTTCCTCTAAAATTTCCCCCCTCACTGCAATACCACTTTTAAATTCCTTAGAGGAAAAAAGCATTAATCATCTGTATTGCACTAGGAGGTGCTGGCTTATTACAGTTCCAGTAAGAGAGGCTCTCAGACTAGGTAAAGTTCTCTTAAAAATGCTATTTATTGGAGCTAAGACTATAAAAAAAACCAAGATAGTATCAATAACCTTATATCCCCTCAGATGCTGGGAATCCCAAGCTGGAATGTGGATTGAACAGGTTCAGCATGCTGTGCAAATCCCATCCCTGGAAGGTTACCCCATTTTGGTCATTTGAGCTCTTACAGGATTTTCTTACATGTAAAACAACTCTATACATCATTTATACCATCATAAAAAGGACATTTACATGGGAACTTGCTTGATAAAGGCGAGGTCACACAAGCGGTGTCACCAGTGGTATCAAGCAGGATCCCATTTACATCCAATTTCAGTGAGAAGCAAATTCTTTAAAGTAAATTGAATTTAAGACTAAGTTATAGGGCTGAAAAAAAAACCCAGTTAAATTACATACCTGTCAGCACCACTGTATGCTCACCACCACAAGCAACCTTATTAACTTTTTCCATAATTCCCAGTACAGGCTGTGGGACTCTATTGTTCTTCAGCTGTTCAGGCAATAATCCCAGTTTCCCATTTGCAGGTTCTCCAAAAGTATAGAGCTCACCATCTCCTGTGGAAATATGGAACAGGGCATGGTTTCCAGTATGCACTCAGAAGCAAGGGTGGGTTGTCAAGACTGCTGCAGACACAAATCATTAACAGAAAAGTCATTACAGGATAACTGAAAATACTTGTATAATGCCCAAAGAGCTGTGCAAAGCACTCTGCTTTGATAGGACATGAAGGTGCTAGATTTTAGCCTCCTCTAAGATCAGAATCACAATATTTAGCTGCAAGAAATGTAGCCAAGAGAAAACCAAAACCGTATACATCCTGCTTCCAAGAGGTTACAATTCCCTCTGTAATCAGTATTTATGTCAACTGAAGCTGCTTGTAAGAATCTGAATTACAACAGAAAATAATTTTGCATGGGAACAGAAAATAATTTTGCATGGAATTTTGATGGAAAACTCATGCTTTCTTCTTTTAAGATATAAAGAAATCACAGTAAATGATATGACACTGTGTGTGGTTTGGACAGTTAGAAAAGAACTCTATGTCCAACAACAAGAATACGGCAGTGGTTCCATAGCAATAACTCCACCAGAATTAAGTTTAAATAACTTATTTCTGATCTGGATGTTTGGAATGATAGTGTTTGTCTTCCCAAGTCACTGTTACCTATGATGGAGCCCTGCTGTCCTGGGGATGGCTGAACACCTGCTTGCCCATGGGAAGCAGTGAATGAATTCCTTGTTTTGCTTTGCTGGCACACATGGCTATTATATTACCTGTTATACTGCTTTTATCTCAACCCACAGGTGGTTTTTTTTCACTTTAACTCTTCTGATTCCTTGCCTGATCCCACTGGTGGGGCGCAGTGAGTGAGTGGATGTTTGATGCTTAGTTGCTGGAGTTAGAGTAGGACACTATTTTATATGGTTTCTATATTGTCAAAGATCACTTCTGCCTCTCACAACAGAAAAGATTCTTCAACTACCATGGTTCTGGGCCACTAAGGCTGGCAACTGGACTTCCTACCTTTACTGAATGTTATAACTGTATAGGGAGGCACTCAGGGAATGAAATTAATGTGATCTTACTCAATGTCAAGCTTTCTACAAGGTTTAATGGGACTCAGGCTATTGAATAGTCACCCACAATCCATTCACAGAGTTCCATTCTCTTCAGTAAGACAATGAAACAGGATAGCAGCTTTCTTTCCTAACTCTCATGATCAGAGATGTAACTTCATCCTCCCACTTGTCCCAAACGTCATTCTGACATTTTCTTTCCTGCACACACAAATTAGCCCAATAAGGCTGGGAGGGACCACAGTGGGTCATCTGCTCCAATCTCTCTGCCAAAGCAGGGTCATCTTAGAGCACATGGCCCAGGGTTGTGTCCAGATGGCTCTGGAATATCTCCAGTGAGGGAGACTCCACACCCTCTCGGGGCAACCTGTTCCAGTGCTCGGTCACTGCACAGTGAAGTTCTTCCTCATGTTCAGGTGGAACTTCCTGGGAATCAGTTTCTGCCCATTGCCTCTTATCCTGTTGCTTGGCACCGCTGAGCAGAGCCTGGTCCATTTCTGACACCTCCCTTTAGGTATTTTCAGACGCTGATGAGGTCCCCTCTCAGTTGTCTCCTCTCAAGGCTTTCTTACATTCTTCTACATTTTTTTTTCTAGGAGTTGTTTTGCAGTCATTTCAAACTGTCTGCGTTTTTTAAGAATCAGAAAATTATCTCAGTTGTAAAAAAGTATATTTAATTTAATTTCCAACTGATGGACTATGTTTAGGCTTTTCTGTTCAGTTTGATTTCCTGTTTTAATTCTGATCTTTCTTCTTATATCTGTGTGCAGAAATACTCTGAACAAGCTGATACTTTGCAGTTATTTGCAGCAGCATCAATTTTCTATTCTAAAACAGCAGCCCAATTAAAAAGAGAAAAAATAACTACAATGTGTGGTTTTCTGTAACCAAAGCATTCTGCTGACAGAGATTTTATTAGGGATTCCAAGTGAAAAGAATGGAAAAAAGCCAACAACAAAAAGAACCTGTATTTTTTGGAAGGTGAATATTGTTTTAATGCTCTCAGATCAGCCTCATAGTTTTAGAAATGAGTAGATAAACCCCCAAAAGCACTTGGGAGATAACTACTTATGCAGTTCTCTTTGAAGAGACCAGCAGTTCTTTTTAAACACTACTGCACTGAAAAAATTAATCCAATCACAATCTAATTAATAGGATTAGAGATTCAAATGGCCAAGCTTCCATTGACTTCCCAAACTAATCAAGTTTATTACATTTTTTCAACTTAATAATCCAGCTAACAAAGATAAAACCATTTACTAAAGCAATTTTTGAATACATTACACATCCCTTTAAGGCAAATAGTGGTCTAAAAGCTATGAAGAATAGCAATCAAGCATAAAAAGAATCCAGTCAAACCCAGATAAATGTTGAGTGCAGCATGTGTGCAGTAAATCTGCATGCTAAGGACACGATGTACTGTGTGCAGTACACCTGCATTTTAAGGACATTATGTTCACAACAGAACCTGGTTATTTAATTTTCTTCTCTCACATGAGTCACATTCTCAGGTGCTGAACTTTCCCTGACGTGGCACATTTTCTGTATCACTAAACTTTAGGTCTCAGGAGCATGTCAAGGAAATGGGCAAGCAAATGGAAAATGTCTCCCAGAGGTGAATGTGCATCCTGCAGATCAGAGCAGATAGGAGACCTGGCTGGTGACAAATGAGGACAGTGGACAAAACAACTGGATCACTCTATCATTCCTTGAATAAATGAGGAAGAAAAAGAAAAGAACTACTTTTTCAAGACCAAGCTGGTTAAAACCATCTCAGACACTGAAATTCAGAGCACAGAAGTGTTTGTGGGATGAATGATCTTTAAAACCAGTCCTTAGAAATAATGACAAAATACATTAGGAAGGAACTCAAGGAAACTGCAAAGGTCTCTATGAAAAGACATCTTTTCAAAGAGAATTTATCTTGACCTTGATTACAGTAACAATTCAGGCAGAGGAAACACTAGAAGATATAAGAATATATTCAACTCCTTTCTGGCTCCACAAATCTAATTCTGCTGTAGACACCAGAGCAGTGGTTTAGGTACATCAGCTTTTCCTGCTCTCCATCTCCTATAGTGGATAAATGAGCTACACATGCTTGCCAACCTTAATGCTTCCTGAAAAACTGTCCCCTCCTGAGTGAGGCACATCAAGTAAGGATCTGTGTAAGAGCTCAAAATCGTTGCTACACTCTTCCAGCTCTTTGTTTCTATGTTGCTTTGTTTGAGACATATCTCAAATACTGGGACTCAGCATCCCAAGTCTGCAAAGAGAAAGGAAACATACTGTGAAAAAGTCCTGAAGGGGGCTGGAAGCCCTAAAATCTTCTTTTCAGCGGAATTCTTTAAAGAATGCAAAGAAGGAAAGGAACCAATATTGTCTGAAAAGAAGGCCTTCTAGAAAGCAAAAGTAAGAAAGGTAATAAACCCTCTTGGAACTACGAGATAAGTGACATTGCACTGTGCTTTACAGCAGTTAAACAATTTAAAGATGAATGCCTAGCAAAAAAATCTTTTTAAAATTACCTGTTTCAAAGAAATAACAATTTTAGTTAAAAGGAAAAAGAAAGCTGGAATCCATACTTCAATACTTTTTTTTACTTAATAGTCTCTTATTAATGAACATCCTGCCCTGGAGAGGGCACTCTGTGTCCACACTATGTATTCCAGTATCCTCATTAACCACTTTTTAGTTTTAACCCAGATATGCCTGTGATCCTAACACTTTGCTTAGCTAGTGTACACCTTATGTCCAACATAAACATAATAAGAGAGGGAACCATATGGTGTCATGCTCATCAGTTCAGCCTTGACAGCACGTATTAGGTCTTACATCCTGCCAGTATGTTACATTATTAAACACCGTACATTATTTGATGTTTAAAAGTCAAAGTGTAGTAATTCTATGGCATCTAGTAACTGAAAAGGAACACATTGTGTGACTATGGTACACTCAGATTAAATGCATAAGGTTTGTTAAACACTGGATATACACTGACGCCAGTACAACAGAAGATCAATTCAGCAAAAGTACTTGGATGTCCAATACTAAATTTTTATGGTAGCTGAAGTATCAGTCAAATAAAGCTGTCTGCAAGGGCCCAAAGGAAAGTAATAAAAAAAAATTTATACTTTCACCACAAAAAGTGTGTGTGTGAAAGTAGTTTCAGCGAGATAGACTGAAGCCAAATTTGTGAAGGATTCGCAGATGCTAAAGCTCAAAATTAAGATGTTCCATCTCATATTCAGGCCTGTTTAAGTAGTAACAGGTTCAACAACTCCTCATTTTCCCAGGTGATAATCAGTTCATCTTCCTATTAATATTTTGAGAGGCTCAATTTTTCTTAACCAGCTGAAACCCCAAGCCTTTTTCTTATCCCCATTCATTAGAAGTTTCCACTTCCTTAGAGCACTTGGCAGCACACATTGTTCTCTCTTTACTCTTAGATGCTTGTCCTCAACCCTTCTACTAAAGAGAGCTTTTGTGACATCCCACTGCAGTTTCAGGGCTTCAGCTCATGGCTCTAAGGCAGAAAGACACACCTTCTTACCACATCCTTCAAGTAAGCGTCCTTTGTTTCCCCATTTATTCTGAGTTTTGGAAGCTGTACATTTCCTAACAGGTGCTGAGCTCCTCATCAGTCCCAGGGACTTAATTAATTTACTGCAATAAATGATCTGTAATAAAAGTTGCACACTACCAGTATAACACCTAATTAATATTTGCCCACCATAGCAAGCTCTCATTCTGTTAACAGTATGTTCTCAGTGATATAATATCGTATGTGGAAAAGTAACATTTATCAAGTAACCTGAGAAAGGTATCTGATGGAATAGCTCCTGGGTACCCATTAAAAGCTTTACAATCAAAACTATTGATCCTTTGAAATCTTTAATTACTCTGAGGGGACCAAACTGTAAAGTTTAATAATGTAAATCTATATGGCTGAGAGGAATTCATGGCTGCTCATACATAACACCGTCAATACTGGCCGATAAATTCACCCATGCTGGCATTATTTTAAAAATAGTGGAATCTTCGCTCTGGAAACCAACAGAGAGTTGGAAGGGAGAAGTGGAAAGCAAAAGAGAGGCAGGTTGGTTTCGAGATCAGCCAACAGCTCACCGTAGCATGTGCTTCTCCTCATACCATATACTGCCTATTTAACTGACTCCAAAACTCAACATTTAAGACATAACATCAAACTTTGACAACAACCTTACACTGCTAGCACATGAGATTAATTTTTCCTCATAATATAGTAACTCTGTTCAATATTTATATTTCTAGAGAAGAAGGAGACTATTATTTGACCATCACAAAAAAAAAAAAATAATCTCAAGAAAAATTAGGTATTTGAAACAGTAGTATTAGCCCACAATATATGTCACAGCCTTCATGAAAATAAAGTGTGATAAGATACTCATTCTTTCTAATGTACGTTTGCACAACAATGCAAATTAACTGCAGGTTTTTTCTCCCAGTGTGATATAAAACATGTGACAGAAAGTCACATGGCGGTTTTTAACAACTATGGCATATGTAGTTTTAAAAGTAATAAATGCCTTTACACAGGCAACAATTTGAAAACCACTGTCCTGTCTCTCCACTAACCTCTATTCCCATTCTCTTACCTGTTATCAAGGCAGAGTGATAATATCCACAGGATACAGAGGAAACAGGTTTTCCAACATCCACTTGACAAGGGACACTGACACAGGATTCACTGGCCAGGCCAATCTGACCTTCTGAATTATCACCCCACACAAAAAGCTGCCCATCCTCTAAAATGAAAACACAGATAGTTAACAGATTTAAAACAAAAACTACTAAAAAGTTAATCTACTTATTGAAGAGTGTTTCAGAAAATCTGTATATGATACTACTAAATGTCATGATCCCAGGGACATAAAATTATACTTAGCACAATGTAACAAAGTAGTCTGAAGTAAGAGGGTATCCATTAAGCCTTTCAAAAGTGACACAGAACACTTATTTATCAACTGATGTTAGACCATAAATAGCAACAGCAAAAGTACTATGTAAAAACACTCCTTCAGAAAGAGGAAGACTGAGCGTGTAAGACAATTCAGTTGCCAGAGGTCAGTATGAAAATATTACAGTGAATTTAAAGCATCTTGTAATTTCTAGGTTCAAGTCACCTCTTTCTTATTCTTCCAAACTTATTCTCTGTTCTGACTTTGGCACACATCCCACTTACTCACGCCTTATCTTTCAGTTCTCTTCACAGCTGATTATATTGCCCAGCTTAATTTTGCTTTCCTTGAACTACCACAATACCTGCTGCAGGTTAATTAAAACCAGCCTCTGTTGACACAAAGACCAATGGCAGCAGTAAAAACAAACAAACAAACAAGGTAGCAAACAACATGAAAAATCTCTTCTAGAAAACAAACAGTCTTGTCTCTGCATATTTCTTACCAGTGGGAAATAAGCTGTGAATAAAAAAATGTACCATCTACAGTGCTACTGAGACAGTGTTAGGAAGGAAAATCATTCAAAGTTGTCCTAAAAATCTCAGGAGAATGTTAGTAATCATCATAAAAAGGCAAGAACCAAACAAGCAGGAGAGTAATCTGAAATTACAGCCTCAATAGGTTATCCTAAACATGTACAGAAACAGCTGCTTTACACCAAAACTTTGAGAAAGTACTTTATGGGGTAATAAAAGACCACCATCCAATGGCTGAAAGTATTATAACTGTGTGGACTCCAATGATAGTATAATTTTGACACCAGAGAAACAGGTGATGGGTTTGGACACTCCCAGAATTAGTAAGGAATGACACAGCTGTGTAGGATGTGCCAACAGACCAAAACAGTTGAAGTAAGAAGTGGAACTAGAGATGCTTAGTTTTCACAAGATTCATGTTTTGTAGCTGGCTTCCCTGGAAATAAACTGAAGACTTTTTCCATTGTGAGGGTATTCATACTGTTTATCTTTTGTAAGGATTTCTAGTCCAGGTCAAGCTCCCACTGCAGGCCATCGCTCGTGGAAAAGTTCTACTTTCACAAAAATTGTAGGAAGATAGTAAGACTGCCACCCCTTCCCAGACTGTGTTAAAATAGGCAATTGGTTATCAAGAAATTACTATGGTTAGCAAGGAAAGAAGACAGAGAGGATAGAAAATATATCCACATATGTAGACAGAATGCTGGAGTGTTTCCCTGGAACACCAGGCTGGACACACAAAAGCAGATTTTTATCAGCAGTTGCTCTTACCAGTTACTGCTGCTGAGGTGTATGATCCAGCTGCTAGCTGCTTGATCTTGTGCTGGCTGGTGAAAAAACTTACTAAATGAAATGTGGTCCTTTCCTCTGTGTCACCTAATCCCAGCTGACCTTCACTGTTACCTCCAGCAGCATACACATTTCCTTTTTCTGCATACAGAAAAGCACATGGAACACACAGAATGAAAAAAACTGGAGCAAGTAATTTAACTTTCAATGGAAAAACATCACAGAAGTGTTGGGTCTACTGCCCTGAATTACCCTTGAGCTGACATGAGCAGTTTCTTTTGTAGCTAAGAAGGAGGCCTTCCTGCACACGCTTGGATCAGAACTTCCTAAAAGCCTTGCGTGTATTTAGACTGTCTGCATTCCTCAATATTCTGAAGACTGACCTAACAAATAAATATAATTTGAAGTTTCTGCAAGAGTTCTGAGGAAATTACTACCAGTAGCCCTGGCAGCCAGAAGCAACTCCTTTCACAAATAGTGCATGTTTTAAGATAAAATGAAAGGAAAATGGTGAATTATGTCCCAGACAAGAAAACTGGAGCTGTATTAGTATGTAAATTAAAGAGATTAATAACTTGATAATTTTGAGTACTGTGAATGAAATACATTTTTACTTAGTGTTTTATTAGAAATATTTCACTTTAATATTCAAATAACTTGCAATTTAATTAACTATGTACTTTGTTTCATAATCTTAAAATTTAAGTTAATGCTGACAACTGATATCTTCAACTTAAGAGAACTTTAAAATTTATATTTTTAATTTTACTACGTTTCACATCTAAAGTGCTCATCTATGATGAAACAGGTAAGGCCCATTATTAACACAGATCCAGACAGAAATGTGATAAGCCATTCACACAATTTATAAACGATTCTTGCTATATAAATGGCCACAAATGATCTGGCCAATATGTACACCAAAAGTGACTGATATTACCCTGTGCAGTCTTGCATACTCCACTGTTATTAAAATCTTCTTTTTATTCTAACAGACTTATTTACCGTGCTCAGCATCTCCACATATATAAAACTCCTCATAATCAAACAATCCTCTTTATAACATTACTAAAAGCTAAAGGATTGCAACCACAAAGATGGCTATTTGGTTACATAAATTACAGAAGCACAACAAGAGTTTGCATAAATTCTCTGGATACTGTCTCTACACAAATTTATTTTTAAATTTAAATTTACAATTTATTTATTTATAGCTTAATAAAGCAACTTGTCATTGAAATGGCAGACTATGTTGCCTAAACAAAAATGTAACAAAATTTGAAGACTTGAAAACACGCAGTTCTACTATATTTACCCAAACATATAAAAACTTCACACTAATAAATATTACTTGTCAAAGGTAAATTTGAGTACAGATGCATATAAAAATAATAATATACTTTTACAGGGCTTAAAAGAAATATTGACAATTGTTAACCACACCACAAGTGACAGCAAGAAATTTGTCCCCATGTCTATTGCTGGCAAACTGCTATATAACAATAGTTTATAAATGCCTCAAAATTACTATTGCCTCAGAATAAATCAAATATTCTAAGAATTGGATGTCAAACCCCCAACTTTTAGCAGTCCAATTTTCATTTACTTTTCCTTTCCTCCCCCAGTCCTGGGGCTCCCAAAGTGATTTTGCTTGAAAGCAAGGGAAGAAATCTATTTTTAATATGTACACAATATAGATTACATACCTGTGTAAACTAAAGTGTGGTTTCTTCCACAAACAGCAAGTTTTGGTTTTTCTGGTTTTAAAGCTATGGATTAAAATGAAAGGGGGGTAAAGTTATAAACAAGCCAATAGGTGTTTCAACAGCAAGCTGCTCTGTGTTCTAGAGGGAGCTCTGAATGATAATAATATTTCTTGCCTATTTGAACCTAGCATGACTTACCAAATCAGTATTCCCTCAAGATAAGAAAACAGATCAGATCTTAGCAACTTAAGACACTCAAGTTAACTTGATGATGTTTACTTCAACCCGATGCCACAGTTCCTGGAATTTACCATTTACAGGATATGCCTCAAAGAATATATCAAGTTGTAGGATAAAATGCATGTTTAAAGTTGTCTTCATTTTTCATTAACAGTACTATTCTTAACTCCCTCTTATACTTCCTCCAATACCTTAAATTTTTAAAACCATACCCTTCTTTTGTCTTACCCTCCCTTTCTAATGCACACATCCCTTTTTTGCTAGACTTTTATTCTGTACTGTCTTCCTGCTGATCACTGAATTCAGTTCCCAAGGACAGCCCTATCTGGACTAGTGCCTATATTTTTTGAATGTACCATCCTGTCTCAATTTCATCTCAGTTACCACCCACCCATTGCAAGCACTTCTCTGCAGTCTGGTCACTTTGAAAGACTGGGAATGTATGTGAGAGGAGTCACGAGTTATTTTGCTGGGAAAGAAAGAATACAGAGGTGCCTCCCACTTAGGCTAATCAATTGTATTTGATGAGATGTGCTGTATTTACAGTATTGCTGGCAATTTTTCATAACCAATTTCATTAGTCTCTAGTCAAATCCTAGAAGATAATTTCTCAGAAAACATCCAGTCACAACCATTTGGCTCCAAGTAGAAACTGAAATGTGTCCTTGTAACCCCATTCCCAAAGCCAAGTGATGACCAAAGGCTAGTGAGAAAAGCTCAAGGACTTTCTCCTTCTGCCAATTGCCAAGAGAAGAAAGATACCCCCCTTGTGACTTTTTTCAATGGATGCCAGGTCTGGTTTGAATTGCTGTCATCTTCTCTTCATCTTTTATTCTCCATTGCAATTTGACAGTAAAAACAAAACTTGACACCCAATCCATTTAAGCCAAGGTAAGAATCAATCTCTCACACAGCTGACAGAAGATGTGAACCTGAGAGTAGCTGCATTCTCCCTCTGAAGTGAAATAGAGACAGGAGCAAATAAAGGACAGTAGAATAAACTAAATCACAGAAGAACAGAGTTTGAACAAGCAGGATAATTTGTTTTTAACAATAAGCTAACAGATCGATCTGGTGGCAGAAAGGCTGAAGATAAACATCTAATGGTGAAAAGAAATGTGTTAATGGGATAGATCTGACTTGACATGAGTAAGGGGATAGGGAAAAGTATTGACTTGGTTTTGTTTGACAAGATAAAAACAGCTAGGAAAGATCAAGAAGATCACAGTGCAATGAAAACATATTTTCCAGTACATAAAACAATATAGGCATTTATCTTATTGCTTCATACAAATGTATTAACATTTTGCCCCCTTGGGCTTTCTTATACTTGCTAAAAATGTAGCAGCACTTGTAGAAAGTTTCTGCTGGATTTTTTTCATTTACAAAGTTACTAAGACAGAAGTGACACAAAAGTTACACAGTGCTGTTGGAACTCTGATTTCTAACAAATGGACAACAGTGCAGAGACCAAGTATTTAATTGTTGTCTTGGCATTAACCATAACACGTGGTTTGTCAGAAAAGGCTAATATTATATATAATCAGAGCCCTCAAAAATGACAGGATTCTATGTATCCAAAGTAACCCTCAGATGCAAAAGGACTCATAATCTAGAAGTGACGGAAAATCGATCAGGGATCCTTTAAGCTACTTCACGATCTTGTGCAGTAATATACTAGAAGTGATGAGTAGAGATGGCAGAATCAGTTATTTTGGAACTGCACCTTATGAAGTACTTTTTCACAGGGGTCTCCTTTCAAAAAGGCAAAACCAACAAACAAACAAAGATAAATTAAACAAACCTTTAACACATGTTGGTTTGTTGACAGTGTTCTTTGATCCTAGTCCCAACTGGCCCCAGTCGTTACTGCCGAACATGTACAGTTTACCTTTCCCTGAAAGAAAAAGCACAGACAGAACCCACACAAATGTATTGAATGCCTCATTCAAGACAAGCTGGTCATTCAAACACAGTGCTATTAATTACTTCCTTTTTAATGTAAGGTTTAAGATTAGGCAATTCAATACTTAAGTGCAAACAATAATTAATATCCTTGTGATTTTTCAGTTCAAAAACACTAATTTCATTGTTTAAGCAAGAAATCCCCAGCCAGGAGAGGGGACAAAAAGCAGAACCAACATCCTCTCCTTTAATTACAACACAGATAAAGTGTCCTTCAGAAAACAAGATGTACTCTTGGACAGACCCTACAGTTCAGAAACCACAGTATCTACAGGCCCCTTTATAAAATAACAGCACATTTAACTGAGCACCCACATCTTTTATTCCAAAGACAGAAATGAATAATGTAGGTTTACAGAAGCACAAATTTGCAATATTCATCTTGATTGTTTAGGGTAGGATATTTCTTTTACTGCTAAATATTTTCCCTTACAATGATTTACAAAGCTGCATTTCTACCAAATATAGTTTTGATAAATATTCAAATGTCTTCACAAACTGTATTAATTTGTTACTCTGCATATAAAGAAGGAAAGCATAAATCCACCATGCAGTCAGGGGTTTTTGTAAACCTAAATGCAAGCATTAGGTTACAAATCTTCAACATGAGCAATGCTGGAATTGCCTTTCAGAAATTTGGATGACCTGTCAATGAACTTGCAGGTTTGTCCACGACAAACAACGAACTGTTGTAACTAAATAACCAGACTTCTTTGAGGGTAGTATATGAACAGATGAAAATGTTGTCATCAGACATGTAGATGAGACAAGCAAAACTGACTAATGACAATACCTTAAAATTAATGCATTTCATTTCATTTTTGTAAACTATTACCTCCTGTAAAGCTGCAAAATTCCCACAGAAAGATAAAACCTTTGTTCCAGCAGAAATGCTTGCAAAACAATAAAAACTGATTTGTAAAAATAAAACAAACAAACCACAAAACAAAAACTCCACCAAAACAGAAACAAAACAAAAACCCCAAACAAACAAAACCACCCCAGAAAACCATAACCAATCAAAGAAACCTCTTTTACAACTGATAAAAGGTGTTTCAATTTACTTTTGATGAAGGACTGCAGAGCTTTGTGAGTTAAGACTCCATCATGTTGCCACCCTAGGTATCAACAATTATCACATGATCACAATGCACAACAGCAATTCCATATAGCAATGCCAAAATAATATCTGTTTGTAACTTTAATAGTGTGGGTTCCCTGTGAAGAGTCTGAATGTGATTTACAGAAACTTTGAAATATGACATTGAAACGTTTTTAATACAACAAAAAAATCATCTTCTAACATTATTCTAATCCATTTATTTTCTTAAATATAAACACATAATTAAAAAAAAAATACAAACCCAAAAAAACCCCACCAACCATTAACAATAACTGCTCTCTAAAGTCTCCATCAAATTGCTAGATTTGACAATTCTGGGGACATGGGGCCACGTGTCAATATTATGTCTTTCCAAGAAAACTGGAAGGGAAGGAAGTCTGAGGTCAAGTCTGCACTCATAGCGTTCTACAAATAGCATTTATATCACCATCTCAAGTTTTATAATGCAATCCTGTCAAAACACAGGCAGAGCTGTCTCTCACTGAGAGTGAACACACCTTAACAGAAAGAACTTTTATTAGCAAATGGCATCTATCCTATATTGGTATTACTTCTTTGTATCCTTGCTTTATACTTTTTAACTGCTTTTATAAGACAGCAGTATTTCTGTGGGAGTATGATGCCAAGCTGCCCTAATTCAATTTAAGCGCATTCTCTTTTATTCCTGCAAAATTCAAACAGGTCATGCTTTTCATCCTATAATCTGCTGTTTCTTATACCAGTCTTTAAATTCTCAGGTTTTGCTTTGTGAGTCAAGAGGCTTAATAGATGAGAGGAATTTTTTTTTACATTCTTTTACAACTGAGTGACAACCTTTTATAATTTCAGGCTTCCTAGCAGTATAACAGAAAATAAAAAATCTGGGAGGCACGTAATTCAGACATTGAATAAAAACTAACAGGCACTACAGAGGATCCTAAGATTAGCTCAGCTGGTCAATACTTGGTGCTAATAATGCCCAGGTCACACGTTCAGTCCCCCTGTGGGCCATTCACTCAAGAGCTGGACTTGATGATCCTTGCAGGTCCTTTCCAACTCAGAATATTCTGTGATTCACAAAGCTGATTTAGTAAGAGTGGTGAGAAACCTAAACAAATGCCTGAAATGAAGCAACATTTCTGTGTCTGTACAGCAAATCAGGTTTTGGAACAGATATGATGCAATCTAAACTGGCCAAGGAATATGACATAATGTTGCATGCAAAAGGCACTATTTTCAAAACTGCACACTGAGATAACTCCAGTCATCACCACAGATGCACTGAAGTGAGAATTAATCCAACAGCAGACAGAAAGTCAAGCACCATATTCCAAAACTTTGTAAATTAAGATTGGTCTTAGTTTTTTTGCTTCCACTTGGGTGCTCTCATCCAGAGAGTGTGGCCATCTGCCAGCTGGAATGGCTGGCACAAAACAGGTCCAGCAGAGTAAGATTATGACTCTGAGCAGACAGAAAATAACTATATAATAAAAAGGACTATTTAGACTGTTTCGGTGATTGATTAAAACTCACTTCCAACACCAGTTTCCATCTTAATCCTGATGCAAAACTGGAGAGTTTCTCCCAAGCATGTGCAGTGGCAAGTACACCAGCAGATGTCTCACCAACATCAGTTCAGGGTTTTCAGGGAAGCCACAAGACACTCACATCTCTGGGAACAGAGAGACTTCAGGAAGAGAGTGTCTCCTAACCAGCACATTTCCACGAGGAGCTGCTATCACAGCACTGATTCCTGGGAACCCCATCAGTCATGTGTTCCTCGGGGTCATGAAGTGTTACTAAAGGCACTCGCTTGGCAGGTGGGAGATACCAGCTGAAGTCCCATATGCTTCATCAGAGTGGGCTGCCAAGTATTCCTATCACCTATGTTTAAAGGCAGGTGTTATATATTCCCCTCTTTGCTTTCTAAATTATATTAATGTGGGACAGAAATAAGATGGGGAGATCATGTACAGACTTCGAGCATTTACTACATGATTCTATTGAGAAGCTATATCTGAATAAAACATAAAAGGTAATATTTTGGACAGACTACAGACTATATGACAGTCCATGATATGCCAGACACTATGATTTTTTTGTGCCTTCTTTTTTTTCTAATTTTGTGGGGTTTTTAATGCTATTTTGTAAATAAACTATGTTAACAGTTAATTTAAAATTCATATACAACTCAAATAGCTCTCAGAAAAACAGGAATGACATCAGTTCTGTTAGGTAAGTCATGATAATTCTCAAAATAAAAACTTTATTGAGCAACAAGAACAGTCATGCTTAGGACATTTAGCATCACACAAAATCAAACAGCGCATCAACACAAATGTGTACTAATCTTTCCTCACTCTCCCCTTGCAACTGATGTAAAAGATACTCTGCCATGTTCTGGTGACCTGCTGGTAAGCAGAAACAGTAGAAGCACAGTGTCAAAAGACCTGGAGAGATTCCAACATCTCTTGGTGAATGTTTAATGCCTTTCAAAACCCGAAATGATGAGTATATTATCTTCTTGCAATTCCATATGCACCTCTTTCCATTCCTACTTTCACAATTGATACTTCTTTCTTTCCTTCTACCCTCTTGCACTGGGGGCTTCAATTCTCTCAACAGCACTGAGTTCAGAAAACATGTCTTCGTTCATCACCATTTTCCCCCTTGCGAACAGGATCAGTCTCTGATCAAATGTGGACAAGCTGTCTAGGATACTCTAGTCAAGGCAAATAATAATAATAATAATGGCCCATCTTCGCGAGCGAAGATCCGGGGAAGGTTTTTACACCTTCCAGCCTGCGCATTGGATTTATTATATCAAGGCAAATAAACAATAAGACAATTGTTAACTTTAAGGGTCCTGTGAGAAGGACAATTAATAGACAGATATTGGAAGGAGATTCTTCAAAACATAAGTATCATTACTTCTTCACACCAGCTCCCAAGAGGCTGAATAAATTGCTTTACAAAGCCTGCAGTTATAAAAGATGCAGGGAATGGACTGTCAGTAGTCCTGGGCCAAAAACTATAGAAATGGGGCAAGAACCACTATTAAACATGTTACAAGTGATGCTGGAAGATATACTGCTCATGACTTGGGTTACAGACCTAAAGAAGACCATTGCTTAAAAAAAATTCCTGCTTGAACATTTTAATGGTGTCTATGCTAATAGTAGACAGCAAAAGAATAAAGAAACACAAATCTCAAACTCCAAAACTGGAGAAGGAAACGTTTCTTCAACTAGCTCAGCAACCCAACTCAAAGCCAGCAAGTAACTATCACTAATCCTCTCTATTCCAACATACAGTCAGAGCATGTAAATAAAACTTTGGACTCTTAACTCCTGACACAGAAAGCCAAAAAACAGAGTGTTTTATAGTTACTTTACACTTTTCTTCATAGAAGTCAAATGGGAATATTGATGCTGGATTAGATGAAAGAAGTATTTGAAAGGTTCTGAATATTTTGTTTGAGTGCTAAATGCTAGTTCTTGTACATTACCTTCATCAGTATTCAGTCAAGACTCATTGCTAGGTATACCTGTCTCTCCTGCCCAAATCCAGCATTAAGGAATGCCTTGTATTAGTTTGTGTGATTGTTTTACTTATGATTGTTGAGACATGTTAATGTCAAATTGATATACCTCTATCAGATTTGAACCTACCTCATATTCTTACTGACCCCTACAAACATAGGACCCACTCTCTCTTCCAAGGTGTGGAAAAAAAAAAAAAAAAAAAAAGAGGGAGAATTTTGTGACCTATAAATAAAGACTGAAAATAAAATGAAGCATGCATTAACACACACCTGCTTGAGATACTTTTTCTTCCTTGGTGATGTTTGTTTTTTATCTCTTCCAGGCCAGGTTCAGCTGAAGAAGCTCCTGGTTTCCCACAAGGCCTGTGGCCTTCTCAGTGAACTCAGTATTGGCAGGCACCTCTGGAGTGTTTATTCCAGGTGTTACTGCAGGTCAGTGTCAGTCACCAAGGGCTGTAACTCCACTCTATCATCCAACTCCATCTAACAGCAGAAATGTGAAGTGCACATGGGCATGCACAGGTGTGAAGAACAAATGAGGGACAATGGTTTTCTCTTCCCCTTTTTCACTTTTTTCCTGTGACTCTTGCAGTTTTTCTACCGTTTGATTGTCATTGATCCATACTTTACCCTCACTTTTTCCTCTACTTTACAACGACCCAGAAAACATTTTGGTACCTAAAAAGCTTCTTTTTACTCATGCTTCCATAGTTCCTTCTCCTCAAAAGCTTTGAGAAAATCAGGAGTCGATTATCTAGAAGCTTCCCTGGAGATGTATCTGCCCACTACAACAGCTAAGGAGAGCTAAAGAGTCATTTTTGAAACAAGAGACATTTTTGAAACATATATTAAAACAACAGGGAAAAGGGAAGACAATGTTGCATGCAAATCTATGTAAGCTGACTTCTTCCAAAGCTTTATCTAAGTGGTCACTATGGCAGTGATTGATTAGGGTAATAGTGCTGGCACAGGCACATGCAAATACAAGGAGGCAACTTAAATCAACTAGTTTAAACAGAGAGCTATACCAGTGTTACTTCAAACTGGGTGTGGGCATATAAAAGCACATAGAAAAATAAAATTCAAAAGGAAAATATCACAGTGCTCCAGCTTACATCTGGATTAATTTGATGCAACTGGTAGTTTAATATTACTGGTTCAATCCAAGAAAAAGTGTGAAGTTTTGCTCAAAATAAACTATTAATGTATAATCTGTCTTCTGTGAAGTTAGGCTTGAAAAATGCATTGTGTAATTTCACCTCAAGGTGTCCTGAAGTCCATGAAATTTACAGTCTTTTCTATCATGCCTGGAATAGTTCTTTCGAAAAATCTAGGATCTTCAATTCTCCTTTCAAACATCGCAAGAAACCCTCCAGAAATTATTTAATAAGCAGTGACCAATTGGCTATTAATGAGGAATAACTACATTTCAACTTAAAAAGTTCTGAAAATACACATAAATTTTATAAAAACAGTCTTATCAGCAATAGATTGTCAATACAATTGACACACATGCTATTCAACAGAACAGTAGTCCCTTTCATGTAAAATAAAATGAACAAATTTTTTAATTTGTGTACTGTCTCCATCATTTCAAAGATATTAAAATAAACATTAATAATGCTCACTGTATTACATCAGAGTTTCCTTGAATGTTTTTTCCATTTACTTCTGATTTTTGTAGGAATTTCTGAACTTTATTGAGTTGCTCTTTCAAGGCTTATTTTCATCTGACAGTTAACTGTAATTCAAACCTTCATCTCAGAGATACAATTGTATCTATTGTTTCAGGCATATTTCTAGTGAACCTCTTGAGGGTGTTCAGCAGATACTGTTACTTTTATGATACAATATATCTAATAGACTAAACATTGTCAGAGTCACAAGATACATTCAACCTGAACAAACTCATGACTACTTAAAATCTTCTGATACATTCAGTTATTACAAACTCGCTTAAGACAGTTCTTGGGCATGTCTTGTGAAAACCTGGAGTAACCTTACAGTAACTCTAAAGGCATCCAACAGGTCCCACAGAACAGTCCTCTCTCCTCTCCACAAACTCATTTACCGCCTCAGGATTCAAATAAGATTCCTAACTTTCAAAGCTGTCCAAATATATAACCTTTCATCACATCGATCCAAAGAAGGACAGTGGAACTGGTGAAGGGTCTGGAGCACATGTCCTGCGAGAAGCAGCTGAGGAAGCTGGGGTTGTTTAGCCTGGAGAAAAGAAGGCTCAGGGGAGACCTTATGGCTCTACAACTATCTGAAATGAGGCTGTTGTCAGGTGGGGGTCGGTCTCTTCTCCCAGGTAGCAAGTACCAGGATGAGAGGAAATGGCCTCAAGTTGTGCCAGAGAAGGTTTAAATTGGATATTGGGGTAAATTTCTTCACGGAAATGGTTGTCAAGCATTGGAACAGGCAGCCCGTGGAAGTGGTGGAGTGCTGGTTTAATGGCTGGGCTTGATGATCTTAAAGGTCTTTTCCAACCTAAACAATTCTATGATTCTATACACTCCATTTCCAATACTGACCTGTAATGATAGCGGTATGTTCATCTCCACATGATATAAGTACAGGCTTGTCATTTTTGAACCAGAACTTGCTAGGAACATCTTCTGCAAATTTGCTTTTCCCAAATGTGAAAACAGCACCTGATTCTAAAACACAAAAAATATAATGTCAATTTTAGTGAAAGCAAATTTCGCCTCATATATTTTGAAATAGCCATGTTCTGTCAATTCAATTGAACATTTTATTTTCCTATATTTCTCTTCTTTCTTCTCTCAGCCTTCAATATACGGGTTGGTACAACTGTTGTTTCTCCTGAACATGAGGAAGAACTTCTTAACTGTGAGGGTGACAGAGCACTGGGACAGGCTGCCCAGAGGGACTGTGGAGTCTCCATCTCCGGAGAGATTCAAAACCTGCCTGGACACAATCCTGTGTAACCTCTTCCAGGTGACCCTGATTTAAGCAAGGGGAGTGGACTAAATGATCTCCAGAGGTTCCTTCCAACTCCAGCCATTCTGTGATTCTGTGATAAGACCATGACAAAAGAAACCCTAACAAAACTACCCCAAAATAAAGTCCAGGCAGCTCTTCTGCTCTTGTAATCTGTCTGGTTTTCATAATTCTTCCCCCTTTCAAAAGTATTCAGTGTTGTTCAAAACGTTGTTCAAAACACAGAATGTTAACTATTCATTCATCTTTTGGTTAAGCATGTGGCTTGACACAGAAAATACTAATTCTACAGAATAATGAGTGGACTTACAAGTTAAATAATTTGCCAAAAGCCACACAGACAACGTGGTGAAGGACAGGTAGACCTACTATTTTAAAATGTCAAAGCCTGTGCTATAGACATAGAATTTTTTTGAGAATAAAACAAACCTTTTGCTTGTAAATTTTTTGTTAACATGTAACAAATGTGAACAAATACACACAGTAACAGCACACTGCTTCTGAAAATTACATGGAGACACCTTAATGGAATAAATTTCAATGAAAACAACCTCATCAATAATGTATACCCCAGCTCCAAAACCCAGAAGCTCTCTCTTAAACTGTAAATTTGATATAATTTAGAAGTAATTATTTTATGCAAAAGTTCCCCTATTTCCAAAGGCATGTTATTTAATGGATTAGATGCAGCAGACATGTACAAATTCTATTTATTACCTCACTAGATGTGTTGCACTTTCACCTGCTCACTTCCTCAACAACTTTGTGCAGGCAAACTCAAGTTTTATAGAAAGAGTTGAGTTATTCTTTAATTTATCTAGACACATCTATGACCACAGACATACTAAAAGTCATTTGAAAACTCTAGTTTATGTTTTAATCTCCAGCCAGACAGCCAAGCAGCACATCTGAACATGCTCAGTGATTATTTGGCACTTGTGCCGTAGAGCTCTGTGATTCATTTCTTTTCCCTTCAACAGGGTTAACATGAAAACATAAACATATTCTTCATCATTGCATACAAAAAGCTGTCAAACTCACAACCATCCTTTGTATTTTGTTCATTTCACAGCTAAGCCACAACATTTCAAACCTGGACACGAGTAGTGTGTCTGGTTCTGGGCTCCTCAGTAAAACAGGGGCACGGAGCTCCTGGAGTGGGTCCAGTGGAGGGCAACGAGGATGACTGAGGGGCATAAGCACCTCTCTTACGATGACAAACTGAGGGATTTGGGCCTGTTCAGCCTCAAGAAGAGACAACTGAGAGGGGACCTCATCAATGTCTATAAATAGCTAAAGGGGGGGTGTCAGAGGATGGACCAGGCTCTGCTCAGTGGTACCAAGCAACAGCACAAGAGATAATGGGCAGCAACTGATGCCCAGGAAGTTCCACCAGAACATGAGGAAGAACTTCTTTGCTGTGCAGTGACCGAGCACTGGAACAGGTTGCCCCGAGAGGGTGTGGAGTCTCCCTCACTGGAGATACTCCAGAGCCATCTGGACGCAATCCTGTGCCATGTGCTCTGGGATGACCCCGGTCGAGCAGGGGGGTTGGAGCAGATGACCCGCTGCGGTCGCTCCCAGCCCGACCTGTTCTGTGATGCTGTGATGCCGTGGAGCCATCCGTTTGGAAACCGGACCCCACCGACTCGTACAAGCTAAATCCCGCGGGACGTAAACGAGGCGCTTGTTGTCCCGGGCAACGAGCGAATGTTTGAACATCGCCTTGGGGCAAACCACGACACGGACTAATTATTAATCCTCGGTATTAACGGAGCCATCCCCCCCGCTCCCCGGTGCCCAGCGCTGCCCCCCTGCCCGCGCCGTGCCGATCTCTGGCGGCGGCCGCCGCGTCTCTCCCCTCACGCCGGACGGCCCCGCCCGCAGCCGGGGGGAGCCGGGGCAGAGCGGCGGCCGCGGAGCGGGGGCGGGCACGGGAGAACGAGTTCCCCCGGCCGGGCCCCGCCGCACTCACTGGGCACGGGAGAACGAGTTCCCCCAGCCGGGCCCCGCCGCACTCACCGGGCACGGGAGAACGAGTTCCCCCAGCCGGGCCCCGCCGCACTCACCGGGCACGGGAGAACGAGTTCCCCCGGCCGGGCCCCACGGGACCGGCCGCACTCACCGGGCACGGGCAGCTCGTCCCCCGCGGCGGGCGCGGCCATGGCGGCCCGAGGAGGCGGGGCCGGCGGGGAGGCAGCGCCGCCTGGCGGCCGGAGGGGGGGGGGGCGGCACCGCGCCCTCAGAGCCCGCCCCGCCGCCTCGGAGCGCTGGGCCCGCGGCCTGGGCTGTGCCGGCCACGGAATTCAGAACCAATTAGGCTGGAAAAGCCCTCTGAGGTCATCGGGTCCAACCTGCGAACCAGCACCACCTTGTCAACCAGACCGTGACGCTGAGTGACGCGTCCAGTCTTTTCTTAAACGCCACCAGGGACGGTGACGCCGCCACCCCCATGGGCAGCTCGTTCCAGTGTCTAATCACCCTTTAAGTGGATAAATTCTTCCTAATGTCCAAACTAAACCTCCCCTGGCGCAGCTTAACACTGTCTCCTCCTGTCCTGTCGCTGGTTGCCTGAGACAAAGAGGCTGAACCCCACCAGCCTACAGCCTTCTTTCAGGGAGTTGTAGTGATAGGACAGAAGGCAGTGGCTTCAGACTGAAAAAGAGTTGGTTTAGATCAGATATACGGAAGAAATTCATTGCCATGAGGGTACTGAGGCATTGGAAAAGGTTGCTCAGAGAAGCTGTGGATGCCCCATCCCTGGAAGTGTTCAAGGCCAGGCGTGACCCTGAACAACCTGGTCTAGTGGAAGGTGTCCCTGCCCATGGCAGGAGAGTAGAACTAGATGAGCTTCAACATCCGTTCCAAACCGAGCCATTCTGTGATTCAATTATAAGAATCACCCCCCTTGAAGGCCATATGCAAGTCTCATTTCTATCATACGTTTGCTTTCTTGGCAGCATGCCTACATTCTGGGTACCATTTACGTCTCCCTGCTCTGTAGTCTGTGCCTGCAGCTCCCAGAGGAGCCGTGTCCCACCAGGGCTCTGCCTCATGCTCCCTGCTTTGCCAGGCTCCTGGCTCAGCTGTTTGTTTGCTGAGTGATTGGCCGAGCTGCCCTGCCTCAGCTGGGGGAGCAGAACATGGCTCTGAAACTTGGTTTTGTCAGCACTGTGATTCTGTGGTTCTAAATGACAAGTTTCCTCTGTTTGATGGTCTTTTTCACCAGAATGTTTGTGTAAAGTCTTCTGATCAAGTGCACAAGATTCAAACACCCTCCCAGCAAGTGACTCTGGGTAGGGCAGTTCCAGATCCCACTGAAATAAATCCAGGGGCTTGTACACTTTTAACCATATTTCATGTATAGTCCCAAACTCAGTGGAGCTTTTCCCTCCCACCAAAAATACCTATGGTCATTTGTGGAGTTCCATTTTCTTGCTGTTCCCATGTATGGTAGATACACCAGGTCATCCCTTGCTGAAAGAAAAGGTCTTGTTTCCAGGATGATGTACTGCAACAGGAGGTGCAGCAGGAGCAGGCAGCCTGGACAACCAATGCCAGCCTTGTTTTATGCAGAGTTTAACCAATAGACTATTTTTTGCATAAGGTGGTGTTTCCATATAACTACACACAAAGACAGGTAGCCACATTTTCAAAAGGAAAAAGAAAGTGTTTGATTTTTCTCCTACATGAGGCAGCAATTTCATCTCTTTGAACTCCTTCTGATGCCTTGTACCCTAACTCCTTTTCCTAAGTCTGAAGGGAGGGGATATGCATCAAAAGCTGTTCAAAATAAAACTGAACAAACACTGTTCCACAAAGTAATGCCTGAGATTGTAGTTACCAGATACTGTGGTTGCCAAGAATATGAATGGGTTATGAAACAGGGCAGAAGATTCACAGAAAGAAGATGTCTGCAACAGGGTTTTGGTTTCTGGGGCTGTGAGATCCTCTTTGAAGATCAACATCTAGTTGGGAGAGATGGGAGCCACCTCACAAAGCTGGACAAATGTATCTCTGCTGGTAGGATGGCTGAGCTGGTAAGGAGGTCTTTGAACAAGGAATGATGGGTGAAGGACAGAACTACTAGTGGCTGAATGCCTGGAAGTCTTCACTGGCTACAACTGCATGCATGATAGATGGGGAAGACTGTTTATGGAGTGGGCATTTGCTTTTGGGTTTGGATGACCACTGCATGCAGATGAAGCAGAAGCTGTGCTGACAGGTGTCCTATAATGCCATGTTTTCCCAGGTGTCCAAGCAGACATGTATTGCTGAAAGAGGATCTTGCTGCGGGCACAGCGAGGTGCAGCAGGTTGGGAGCTGCTCACTCTCAGAAGGGGCCCCAGATGCTGCAGCCCCACTCTCCAAAGCAAAGGCACCAAGGCCAGGCTCTTCCTCAGGGTGGGAGGTTGGGAAGAAAATGAGCCATTGTCTTCCCAAGGTGTTTTCAAAAGGAAGCAGCATGGATGCTCTTGGTGCACCACCCCACAGCCACTGCTGAAGAATGCTTTGCCTACCCTGATTGCTGCTTGCCCTCAAGAAAGGAGGTGTCAAGGGTCAGTCTCCTGTAAGCTCAGAGAGGAGGGAGGCCTTCTGTTCATTATGTTAGGTGACTATATGAATATCATATTCTTTCTGACTACAGGCATCTATAAAGCTTGGGTGCTCCCTTCCTCTTAGGAGTGGGATGCAACACTTGCTCACAGGAGCTTACAAGGAAATTGGTCCATGTGGTAACTGGATCAGGCAGTCCCTGTAGAGGGATGTGATGATGCTAGTTGTTGTAGCTATATCCCCTCCTAAGATCTTGCCCCCCCCCAGCCTCCTAATGGGGGGGACATCAGCACTGATGCTGTGCCAGCACTGCTCAGCAGTAGCCAAAAATCTTGCTCTGTTATCAACACCCTTCTAGCTGCAAAGCACAGCACTGTGAGGGCTGCTGTGGGGAAAATGAACTCCATCTCAGCCAGACCCAATACAAGGGGGGACCTGAAAAAGGGGCACTGGCACTGTCCCCTCCCTGTCAGACTGTAAAATGAGACTGGAGGCCTTGGCACCTTGACCACATTTTCTTTCTCTGCTGTCTTTTCTCCTGGGTGTCACTAAGGGCATATGTACAGTCCCCAGGGGCTGGCCTTGAAGGTCATGGGAGTCATTTGCCAGAGGACAACCAAGAAGGAAACCGTGGCCCAGCTTTCTTCTCTTTCTTCTCTTTCATTTCCTTCCTATTAATTTCTGTTGGATTTTGCTTCTGCCTGACATTTCCCATGGCAACTGCTGCATTTTCCAAGCATCTCAGGGTTAATTCAGAGTGAGGGGTCCTGAACAAATCCCACCAGGAGCTATCACCCTGCATGACTTTTTCACAGCTATCTCTCTTTCTGGGGAAGTCAAACCTTTTTTCAGTATGTTTTAATTATATGTTCTTCACATTGCCATTTCAACATATCACTCTCTCTGACAGATACACCATCACCTTGATTTACACTAGTACACCTCTCCTTACACAGAGGAGGAAATGAGAAAGTAATGAGGAAATGAGAAAGTAATGGTCATATTTCAAAACCACCTACAGTGCAGGTGGCATAAAGCCTTGTCTGACAATTATATTTGAAGGCAGAAATTTAAATGAAATCACTTTAGTATTTAGCAATTGACCAACTTCAGATTATATAGCAAGCAGTTTGGCATAAGGAGGTAAGCAGGCTGCAATATTTTAGTTTCTGGGCCCCAGTGAGGGTTGTTTAACTCTACCATAGCACAGCTGAAAACTTGGTCCAAAAAAACCCCCAGGAAAATACATTTTTTTAATGTTCTTCATTCTTTTCAGGGCCCTGAGGGCACAAATAAGCCTTTATGCCCTGCCAAGCTCCACGTCTGTGGGTCCGAAGCCTCATTTTGGCTCAGTGCAGGGCCACCAGTCCCTGCCAGGGCTGTGCTAGAGCCATGGAGCCCCCACGAGCACAGTCCCATCCCTAGGGGAGCTGCCCTGCTCATGCTGCATCCTGCAAGTCTTTTGCATTTTCCTACTAGCATGTGCTCCTGTACAAATATTTAACAAACACAAAACAGCTATGAAATGGTATTGACACAGGTGTGATATGATGGGCAGAAGAGCACAAACTGCAAGTGATGCAATGGGCTCTGTGAGAAATCTCTGTATCTGGAGGGTTTGGCCAAGGAAAATTTCAGGGTCAGCCTCTGCCTGGCCCAGCCCTGGCTGAGACAGCCAAAGTGAAGACTTTGGTTCTTGGCTCTCCCTCATTTGCACAGCAGCACCACTTGCTCTCTGCTTCATAACCTTTCTTTCTCATAACTTTGTGGGACTCAGAGTAAGTCTTAATACAAATAGAAGATGCTGTTTAATGTGAGGAGCTTTGTCAGCACTGCAAAACTGACAGGGACCAGGAAGGAGCTGCTGCGACAGTTCTGGTAAGCTTATCCTTTAATTTTATCACTGTTCTGTGACATTTGGCCAGAGACCTGGAGACAAAACCAGCTGAATCCTGTGAAGGAGTGAGTGTTTCAGAGAAAGGTGCTCTGTTTTATGCCCTGCATTTTTATTGCCCTTTTGCCCCTCAAGGCAGCAAGCTCTGTGACTTTGGGAGACTGGAGAATTATCCCTTTTAATGTTTGTGGAATACCAATAATATTTTCTGTGGGATTTAGCAGCAAGGTCAGGAAGGAATGTTTTTTCTTGAGGTCAGTGTATGCTGTAGGTACTGTAACCAATAAATAACAGGAAATTCCTCTTCATTTAGACACTTATCATGGACAGTATGGGGGGATATTCTCTCCTTGAAGCTGCAAGCTGAATCTCTGCCTCAGTATTATTTTTTTCTCTGTATACCCTGGAGACGTGCAGGAAAAATATGATGTGATACAAAGTTCCCAATTAAGCAGGTAGACCTACCTCTGTGACCTGCCTTTGGGCTCTTTCCTCAACCACATAGCTGTGCCTGTCCCCTGAGACTTCAGAAAAGAGTCTTTTTGACTGTGTTTCAGCAAGCTACTTCTCATGCTTGTCACATCTCCAGAATCAGGTTAAAATTTTAGACTGGAAACTCAGTTCCACATCTCCCTCTGTTTTTAGGTCAGCATCAATAAGGATAGCATTAACAAGTTATGTAACAAGTGATTAATGCTATAAAACAATGTACAGGAATTTTGTATTCACAGG